GGAAACTAATGTCCGACTCACCGGCCCTCAACCTCCTGGTTCCCGCGTTGAGGTTTGAGCAGGGTCCGGGGAGCGCTCTCCGATTACCCAGAGACTCTCCACCGCCCTTTTTTTCTCGGAACCTCATTAAGAGTTTGGGTCGAGATCAAATGTGAGATCGCCTCAGATGCTTCCGATGCGGGTGAAACCGCTCGATCTATCCCCTCCGCTTCTTACAGAGGAACAACGACTTTATTTCTGTCGTCAGTTTTTTGTGCCAAAAAACCTTCGCTGCTTTTTGTGCCATTCCGCGACTTGGACGTTCCGACTCATTGAGTATGATTTCAACGGCGTCATGTCATGTCTCGTCGATGGAATTTCAGAATCCAGATAGACATTCGAACCTCCCGATTCTCGGAGTGGACAGCACTTACTATCACGCCATTCGGCGACAACTCGAGTAGAGCTTTGGAATGATTCGGGTAGAATGATGTTCTTCGAATCGGCATCGATTGTTTGTCGACACCCTCTCACATCGGAGTTCTCGCTGCGCGATCTGTCGAATTCGGTCCTTCGCCGCTCGAGCCCGAGCAGACAGAAGCCGGTTCCGGGGCTCAAGCCGCCCAGCAATGAGAAGATTTCCACCGACGGACGACGTTAATGATTTGGAAATTGCTATGGCGCTCGCGAACGTCAAGGACAAACAGGCGACAGATTGCTGCAGCAGACGCATCAGTAGTGGGTGGTGGTTCGAGAAACGGTCCCTGCGACTCCCTCGTACTTGACAATAAATTCTCAACGGAAGCCTTCTGTGCGCCAGGATTAGACGCATAATTCAAACCAAATCGCAGAATCAACATTCCGTATTTTTCAAGTGAGAGCCGCACGGATTCATCATTGAGGGTTATCATTCAGTGTTCAGACGACCGAACGAATAGTCTATGGTCCCGGTAGCTTTGCGACCTCGTCGACGAAGCCTGCTCCCAGAGCGGCCGCTGCAATCATTGACGGTCCCTACTCATTATTCTCTTATCCTACTTGCTAGCCTGTTGACATTCACTGCGTTAAGAGAGACTTCACGCGGCGGGGGCATTAGATCATCTAGTCATCATATGCGGCGCGGATCGCGGTGAGCGAATGAATCCTCACCAACTTCCAGAAGTCGATTCGACCCGAGACTTTCGAATCAAAGGCTGGACCCCTTCCATAATTATTCGGCTCAGTCGTAGAGGAAACTCGAGATCGACGCAGTGCTGAATGGATCAGTTCCGCTTAGATTTCTGTGTAGTGCTCGAACTTCCCAAAAACCGGATTCCCTGCGGATTACCTGAACAGTCAAACCGAAACGCTGTCGACTTCTAGGCTCAAAACGACCGGGGGATCAGGTGAATGGGTGACTCTCGTTGCCGCAAAGGGAGACTTTGAGCGAAACTTCCGTAGCGTCGACTGATCGAATCGATCGCGAATAGCTCCGTAGTGCTCGGAGCCCATTGAGCAGGATCACGATCCTGCGGCACTCGCAGCACGGCTTGTATTCCTCCGTCAGCTTCGAAATGATTCCGGATGGTTGCTAGCCACTCGGGTCTCTCGAGCGATGTTACGACAGGTCGTATATCTCATACGTAACAATGTGTGATTATTGGCAAACTCGCATGCCCAGAGCTCTGTGCGAGCTTCGCTGGCTTAACATTCAGACCATAGTTCACGCAGAATTGCCTCAGTCGACCGCATCATCAACGTCATCGAATAGTATGGCGCATCCTGATCAGAAAGATCGATCATTCCCGAATTCCCATCATGCAGAGCGGGCTGGATACAGATAAATTTCGCCGGCAGGCAGGTTTCCGTAAGTCCGCTTCCCCCTGCCGCGCTCTCGTCGAGAATCTAACTCGACCGTTTCCGATTCGCTGCCCAAAGCTTACCGGGGCTCATTGGTATCGCGACTTTCAAAAGAATATGGATCGATCCTCGGTAATGCCTGAAATTGATGTTGACAATAGCTTGCTATCTACAGCGACCTTGCGTCGGATGGCGTCGAATTCCGTGTCACGCTTTCCTCTATCGGCTGTCGCATGGACTGTCACGGACATCGTGTCTCGACCGCATTCCGGAAGTTAGCCTTGAATAGAAACCACAGCCGGTCTGCTGCCTGCGTGCCTGCCTCTTCTCACACCATACGCCTGTGATGTTCTTGTTTTTTAGCCAATCGAGTCGCTCTGCTACGTCGTTGATGCCAAGGCTCACGCCGTGGTCAACGCAGAGTCGACGTCTACGTCACCGTGACCTCCAGCGTTGCTGTCAGAACCGGCTCCTGCGTCGACTTTGCGCCACCCCATTCTACGACCTCTCCCGACATCCTATGTTGTATATACCTGCTTTCTACGCCTGTCAGTCTGGTCGAACGAGCGGTCTTGGAAACTGTGAGACAGAAAGGGATTATGTTATTTGCTGGAGTGAGCTCGCGGAGAAGGCGTATGAGCTTACCAGAGGAATCCATGATTTTTCGGAGTTTTCGCCCCGGCTGTTTTTCGAGACCAGCGCCTCGATCGAGTCTAAATCGGTCGTGAATCTATAAGGGAAAGAATTGAGCTCCGAAGGTGATGAAAACGGAACGATGCGACTCATACCATTGTGATTGACGATTCTCATGCGGAGTACGATCAATTTTCATCTGTAAGGACCATTCCTCTCAATTTAGAATGTGTTTTCGCGGGATGCGTCGGGACAGATGGCCAAGGTCGGATCCACTCGTGTGACCCACAAACGCCATTTGAGGAATGTTCCGGACTGTGAAGAGTCTCGACAAGTTCTCAATTAATTATACAATTATACGGATGCAGGTCTAGAGGAAAACAGACGTCGTTCTCGATTCTTCGATCGGCTCCAGAGAATCACCAAGGAGCCAATATCTCAATTTTGAGTGTGGGAAATGGGAAACATCGGGACTCTCGCTTTCATCGCGTGTTCTAGGTTCGAATTCCGTCCCATGATATTTCGCACTCCGGAAAACACCTTGCTTCTCGTAAAGTATGGGAGTCTCAAAGATCTGACTACATTCGCATCAGATGACGAAAGTTTTCGGTCTGACGTAATTCTGGAAAACTCTGTCGATTTATTTCGCTACACACATTCCATCGTCTCGAGAAACACGCCCTTGGCGGCCTCTCGTTCAGCAGAAATTGAATGCCGTCAGTGATATTTGTCGGAGAGAGCTTCTGAACGCACCTATGTATAGACAGACGCCAGCTGTCTGAAAAGAAAGTTTCGAATGCATCGATCCTAATGGACAGGCTGCAAGGGTCGCTCCTCATGATCCATCGTATAGTTCGCCCTGTAACTCGTTTAATGGGTGAACATCAGAACACTATTTGTACAGCGAAGTGACTCTTATTGAGCAGTCGAAACTTTTCGATTTTGAATGTCAATCACGTAATAGTAAACGCAATTCCTGATGAGATGGTGGCCTATCGGTGTATCGCTCGGCTGTTCGATTGGAGAGATTCGTGACAACGCCTCCACTGCCGGAGCGAGTAAATAGACAAATACATTGGCTTGTCGCTGCCCCGACGGCCTGACCGAGCGAGCGACTTATCGGTTTGAGGTATACAGATACGCTGACGAATGGTGGTGCGACAGCTGTAAGAACAAGCGGCCGATCCCGTGTATTGGCGACGATTCGCTCGATACTACATAGATGCCCTTGACTCGGAGAGTGCGAATCAGGACGTAGATGGTCAATGATTGGCTTTCAATGAACGTACTTTCTCGTGACCTTCGACTCATTGAGAGGGAGGCGTTAATGAGCGACCAATGCCGGGATTTCACATCTCTGGTGCCTTAGATGGCGTGCTAGCATGCCACAGTACTAGCAACCATGGTTTCAGCGGGATAATTAGGATCCGCAGTCAGATCATCGAGATCGTTGGAAGTAGGAACTCGCTCGTCCGTCCTACTAGCGAACAAACTATCGAACCATGAGACTTCGAACAAACAGTTGGTAAGGGTGCGTTTAATCACGTGCGTTGCGATCCGGTCGCGATGAGCTCGCTCCGGTCGCAATGAGCTCGCTCCGGTCCCAAGTGGAATTCCAGTGATCAGAGCCAAGGCAGCGGAGAGGATTCTGTCGGGCGCGCTGATCGAAGCTTGGTGTGAATCTTTGCGAGTATGAGAGTTAGGAGGGATAGTGGTTCCAATTATGGGAGATCGGGGCTTGGGGCGCGACCACCCCCGATTGATCGCGAGTGCAACCCGCGGAATTCCATGGCCGAAGTTCAGCTCGAACTATCTCCACTGCTCCATGAATCTGACAATGAAATCACGCAGAAGCTCTGAAGCAAGAACGATGATCAGAGTCCACGAGCAGCTTCTGGGAATCACAATAATTTGTTTCCAAATAGTTCAGCTGCGAGAGTCGGACAGCACGAGCCGCTGGTCCCGCTCAATCGATCCCATGCGGTTCGGGTGCGCGAGCTCTCGAGAGTTACGAGAGCTTCTTCTGTGAGGTGTCCCATGATTCCGATAGCGCTCCGCTAGTCGCCCCTAGAGCCTGGGAAAACGTCGTGCCATGGAAAGTGAACACAGAGGAAAGCTTTTCTCCTTCCAGAAAACTGTGCTGTAAACACTGAGGCACCGATTGAGAGATCATCTGTGTTCACACAACACACTTAGGAGCGAGGAAGCAAAGAAGCTCATCTTCAAGGCATGATATGTCGGAGGGAACAGTTTCTTTTTCGAATCAGAACCGCATCGATAAGCCCGGAAAATCTACCTCGTCGACACTGATCGCTTGGAGGGAAGGACTCATCATTCGATAGGGGGTTCCTATCCGTTCCCTATCGGCTCTAGAATCCGACCTCTAGCGCCTGCGACAGGGGACCGTCAGGGAGTCGAATGGAGAAAAAACCAAATTCGATCACGCAGAAAAGACTTTTATTGAACACACCGCTTTATTCCCCGGTCTGTTGCTATTGTAGTATGATCGCGTATCATCGGCAAACTACAATTATTCATGTTTTATATATAACTGTATGTATATATATATTATTGAAAGGTATATTGCCTGATGTTTCCTTATACGGGTCCGGCGTCTGCTCTCTCTCGAATTCCATCGGAGACCCTAACAGTTCTTCGTATCCGCAACTACGAAGCTAACTAAGCGAGAACTGAGGTAGGCACTTTATTTACATATACGGCTCGCTCGCAGGTTCACGTGCTGCCTCCCCTCTCTCCCTTATCCAGCGATTCAGTCAGCTGGGGATGGAAGAACATCCCCGTTCCTCTTATCTGTCTCTCATTCGAGTCAGTTCCTCCGTGTGAAAGAGTTCACAGATGGATTTCATACTTCGTCTCATTCAGAAGCAGTCGGAATTATCGGAACGGTTTACGCCTGTTTTCCATAGACGAGTCGGTCTCCCTAGGGAAGTTCCTGCACGAAATACAAAGCCTGATGGGGCCGGCCGGAATAAAGCTGGACTAGGCTTAGAATGAAGCGGTGCGAAGTATTACACAAATGCTTTCAGACCACGGCCTCGAGCAAGCCACCCGAGAAAGGATTCCGGGTCGATGGTCTGGGCGGCTTCTCCTTATTGTAAATTACGTCTGGGTGACGATTCTGACGTTTCTCGTACACTCCGTAATCGGGTCTGTATCCAGGATAATTCTGTCCCTTGTAGATCTCCTGATAATCGGTCTGTCGGTAGCCGTTGACCGCGGGTCTGGAAATTAGCGAGGACTCGATCCAAACCTTGTTGTGATACTCGGTCGTGGGGGTCGAGTCGAAGCTAGTTTCCAAATAGCTGCGATCCTCGGAGAGGACCGAATTGTTGACAGCCTGCAAGAACGAGTATCGTTCGCTGCCTTCACAGCGTTTCTCCTCGAAAGACGAAGAGAACTCCGTATCCGAGAGGTCTTTAGCACGTCTCCACCCGGCATAAGGTTCTCTAGTGCTGGCAGTGGTGGTCGTTGTAGTCAAGACAGAATGTTGGGAGTTGATCCAGTTCTGGGTTTTCTCCATGCTCTGGTGCTCGGACTCGCTGCTGGGGGTCGGGGGACTTCGGCGACTGAAGCTTCTCCACGATGGGGTCGTCGTTCGCGAAACCGTCTCACGTTTCGGGGTAGCGGTGCTGCTGCTCACCGAGTAGGCGCTCCGGAACGATTCGTAGTCGGGCCGGTTGCGCGTAAAGCGTTCGCTCGACATGGCGGGCGTGTTGCGCCCGGACAGAATGGAAGCTCGACTCGACGGTCGGCTCGACTTTGTATACCAATCGGGTACGTTGAGGTTCTTGAGGGATTTCTCGACGCGGAGCTCGAATTCTGATTTGGCAGCGGTGAGACGGTTGCACGGAATCGGGACGTCTTCGTAGTCGCTGGCTTCGTCATCCGACGACGTGTTGGCGGCTCCTCCGGTGGATCCGCCTTTTGAAGCTGTTTTCTTTGCCAAGTGAGTAGTGCTCACAGACCTCTCACTGAGCTCGGGGAAAACTGGTTCCACGACCGGTTTCGTTGGAAGAACCCAGTTGTCTTCCTCGTCAAGCTCGAGAAAACCGAGACTCTTGCTGCGTCTTCGAAGATCAGGCTGTGACATGGCGGGATGGTTCTTGTAGCGTTTGTAGGTATCCGTTGATTTGATCGAGTTCACGATCCGATCGAACTCTGACATTTTGCCCGACGGGGCAACACCTGCACCCGGGACGCTTCCAACGGTCGTTGCAGCTGCTTTTGATACTCCTGCGGGAGGAGTGATCCCTCGCAGGCTCGATCCTGAGAGGTTCGTTGATGCAGCTGGCGCGAGAGAGTACGCAGGTGTTTTGGTGTCTTTTGCGACGGGTGCAGGTGGCGGTGGTGATGAGGGTTTCTTGGGCGGCAGGGGGGGCTTTTTGGCGGTGAAGTAGGAACTGAACGACTTGTTGGGTGAGCTTGGTCTGCGGAAATCGGCTTCGTCGACGGCTTTCGGCGCACGGAACAGCGAGCTGTCGAAAGTCTGGTTCAGATTGCTCCTTGACTTGGACAGATGCTGGCTGACACGGATGTTGGCATCCTCTTCGAGAGCTGTCAAGTCGGGAGTTGATTTGGCAAGATTTCTGGTGGCTTCCTGAGCGGATTTCGTGAACATCTCGAGTTTCTCATCGACGAGACTCGTTAACGGTCGAGAGCTATCTTTCTTCTGAGAGGGATTGCTCGCCTGCTCGAAGAAAGCTTGGCGTGAAGCCACTAGCCGTCCACGGGCACGACTAACGGGTCGGTCGTAGTTGTAATCCATGCTGGTCGATTCGTTTCTTGGTTTTCTCGTCGGCTACAAGATCGTCGCAATCCCCTACTCGCACTACGGGTAGCGTCTCGATCTACTCCTCCCTGTCTGTCGTTAGTCCGAAGACTAATGCAGCAACATACAACGCGACGGAAGAGTCGGTGGCACTAAGCAATCTTCATGGCATCTGTCGAAACAGATGTAAGAGATTGCTGGCCGTCAACCACACCTGAAAAGACAAACAGATAAAGATATCAGAATCAGCCGGAACGACACCTAGACGGAAGAGTTTTCACGCTCAACAAAACGATCCCCCACGTCACAGAAGAACCTTTTTGGCAGTGATGGTCATTAAGAGACCCAGATGCGTCAAACGGCATTCCGAGATGATATATCAAGTATATGTGGTTCAGAATTTTCGTATTCTTCAAGCACTCGACGGACTAAGTGGCTCCTACGGAATACTGAAGGAACACTCCCGGAGCTCCCGTGTGAAAATACGGTAAGCGACGTCATCGACCTCAACTGAATTAGTTGTCTTCCGAACAAGCCACTCACTCGACATGCCGAAGAATTGTCCGGCTCAGCTTTCCGTCCAGTCAGGCATTCACTCGGCGGGTCACTCGTTCAGGAAAGCTTTTCCAATGCAAATTGACACGCAATAGTGCGATGTCCACCGGTCATGTGTCACTCGTCCCGCTAACGAGTCGACCCACTGTCTCGCAACATCTGGGCGCTTGTGCTCGATCGCAAGGAAGTCTAGCTAGTGTTCCATGCGACCCGTAAGATCAGCTCGACGTCATCCGCCTTCGAAGGCATCCGTAAAGACCTGTCCCGAGTGCGTCAGCACATTCCACGAGATTAGTTCGAGCTCAGGTTTCGTGATTCTCAGGCTTTGAGAACAAATACTCTGGATCCATCTCAGCGATACGCAGTAGGGATCTTCTCGAGCTAAACAAAGCAAGGAGTTCCGCATAAGAACGCTCCTTTTCGATGGCGCATTTCGTGGAAAACGATTTCGACGCATTTCGTCCGAGCCGCTCGAATTTCTCGCTCCCTATTTCTATCGAAATCGCTCATGAGGACTTGCGTTGCCTGAATGAGGCAATTCGAATGAGATAAAAGTGAAAAGTTCGTCGATGGCTCGATTTTGAAAGCCTTTAGTAGTTCACAAAACGATCTGTTAACGTGAATCGCGCCACACGCACCGCGGAAGGAGGTCTCATTGGACTCATTGTTAGCAGAGTCGTCTGCCTTGGAGCGATCCAAAGGCGCGTAAAACAATCGGAATTCCAACTATTCGACCTTGGAATGCCCAAGACTCTCCTGAGAGGGAGGAGTTGTTTTCGCGACTGCTGTAGCGTCTGCCGTCTTTGCGTTGCCGATGGATGAGGATTGCCGTTGATGAGGAGATTGGGCGCGCTTGATGAGGCTCACAAAACTCGATTCCGGATAATCGGGGGAGCATACCAAGGAGACCGATCCTGGGAGAGCCTCGCTCCGAATAAGTAAAAGGAGACAGCCCATCAGAAAATCCAGACGATTATATAGCGGAGAACCGAGAGCAGTCCACCGCGAAAGCTCACCGGAGAAACTTCCCGGAAGATAGGGAAACAAAGACCGAGAAATCTTCGCAGCGATTTTCGCTCTTCGACCCGTGGCTCTCGCTTGAATGTTCGACCGACTTCCATCGATCATTCTCCAATTTTTTCGGTTACGCTAGTTGGTTTGCCGCTCGCCGGGTCGTTGATATGCCGGTTGGTGTCGTCTTTTTCTGCTCACAGAAAACGCTCCCAGGCCGTTCTACGGCGCTTCTATTCAACGCACCGCACAACAGCAGCATGACGCACGCCAACAGAATTATGTATTCTGAGGATGCTGGCGAGAGAGGAAAGAATATAAAGAACCGCACACAGACAATGAGTCCTCACCTTGAGTTAACCAACACTCTCCTCTCTCTTTAACTATCGATCACAAGGGACCCGACTCCGGGCGCGTGGGTCCGCGATTCTGCACGAGCACGAGTGCATCGTTTCCGTACATAGATCGCCGACCGCGAACGAGCAGGCGGCATGATTGAGCGTTTTTCTGATTTATTGCCGTGAATGTTTTTGGCTGTCGTCGCCTGTTTTCCCAGATGACTCACGGCGTCCGAAACGTATTCTCGCGGATTCATTCTCGAGGCTCTACGCGTTTCCAAGCAGGAAACACGAGACTATCTGACGGTATGGAATACACATATCGAGATCGAAAGAACTGGGAAGGAGAGCATTCCGAAGACGACGACCCGAGTGTTCTCTCAGATCTGGTGCAGAATGAAGGGGTGTCTGTGAAACCCAGATCATTTCCGCAGCAGAAGGTAGGTACGTGTGAAACAAGCGACTCCCCTCACAAGGAACAGAGCCGATCGCCTCACATGAAGCGGCTTGTTCGGCTTAATTCCGAGGAACGGGGATAATGATGACCGAATAGAGAAGGAAGACAAGACGGATAAGGGATGCTTTTGTAGATTCATCTGTCCCACATGTCGAATAATTGACCTCGGCTCATCTTTTTAGGTTCCCTTGCTTATGTTCAACCCATATCACAATCAATTTTGTCTGGACTGGTCCGTCCTCATTTTTGATCTGAAATTCCGCCTCGACCTTGCGGATCTATGAGCGAACGGGGTGATGTGAAGACATTTCGGTCTTTTTGTGCGGTGACCGAAAACGAGCGTACCGAAGGAAGAATTGGATTTAAAACCGCACCGCCTCACGCCACCAGAGCTACAGCAGCTGGTTCAAAAAAGGCTTCCCGGCACCGTTCTGCACAACCAACACCCACGGGGCCCCAATGTTGTTTTAGGTGAGGCACGACTTTCATGCTGTCAAGGATTCGCATTCGAGCAACAAGCGACTTCAATCCACTCTTAGCTTCTACATTCTGAGATCTGTCATCGGAAAGCCCTCGAGACAAGATTCCCAGCAAATATAATCCGCTGAGAAACTCGGTTGATTCTGTCAAACAAGAATCTCACTCCCTCACGGCTCTAAGAACGTTTCTGAACCCCGAGCGGGTCGCTGATGACGAGCACTGAGTAAACGCGACTCCGACGCCTCGCACCTCCGACAACGACATGCCTCTGTGGCGAGTATTTCTCTTTATCGGTTCTCGTTTCTCTAGCAAATGTCGAACAAGCGCCGGAACGAGGAAGGGAATCGTCCCGGTCGAAAGCTCTCACAGAAAGGACCTTTGTAGTTTTCCCAAATTTTACGAAGGGGAACGATGAATGAGGGAAAGCTCTTGTCCGGGGAAAAAAAAAGTCGACCAAGGAGATATAAAGTGGAATGAAAAAACGGCGTTGTCGATGGCACAACATCTCGACGGATCGCTAGCTGTCACACAGACAGGATGGACTTGTCCTCGTCTATGAGCGGCTCCATCGTCGACTCGTCCAAGCTCCTCATTTCCAACTTCAACTTCGTTGGAGAATGGAGGAGCAACGAAGCGAGAGAATTTCCAGACATTTGGACCCATCAAAGATTTGTTTGTTCGAATCACGGGAGCGTGTTTACAAATTGTGCCCACAGTCACGAGTGTCAACAGAGAACTTTTCGGACACCCTTCCGCACACTCGATTCTGAGACAACAAACACGACTTAATATGACAGCGAACCGATCAAAAAGTGACACGACCATCAGAATTGTAACACGGAGACAGAATTGTCGAGTCAGCTCCGCTGCAGAGTCGAGATTTTCTCACAGAATTTCATGAGGAAGATATCAGGGATGCGGGCATCCCTCAAAAGATCCCTCTCGTTTTGCAGCTCCACTTGATGGTCGACAAAGTGACTCACGACTCTCGAAATGACTCGCGCTCGCTTTCTGGTTCCAGGATCGGGCATCTAGACATGCGACTCGATGTCAGAGGAGCACGAATGGACATCAGGGAGGCGGAAATCGGTGCTTTCGTCGGCGTCAATTGTGTTTCGGAGTTTTTCCGTTCACGAATTGGGCAATTGCGCGTATTCATCGATGTTTAGAAAAAAAATGAGTGTGCATATTCTCTGCGAGAATCCAAGTCTCGATATTCAATCGCAGCCTGATGCCATGCCAGGCTCCTTTCGACTCCTTCCGTTTCCGGAAGATTCGTGAACGATCCAATCAAGAGCGCGAGCATCAAGAACGAGCGAACACGGCTTTGAGTGAGGGGATTAATTGGTCGGTCGGCGTCGATTGCCCGCTCGATGAAGTTGCGGGACACCAATCATCTACCGACACAAGAGTCTTCATGAACTATCTCTTCACCAGCGAATGCGCCTCCAGCGTTCAAGGTTGAAGATTACGTAGATGCTTTTAATTCTTCGACCTCGGGCTGGACCTTCGCTCGTGAATGTCCGTTCAATTACTTCGACACGCCGAAAAAAATTAGCACTTCCATAAATAAACACTTTTTCACCAAAACGATCTTGATAATTCGATCTCTCCTAACCCAGCGGAATCTCTATCTGCATACCGGAACCTTCGTTATGACATCGAACATGAGTACCTACTCCATCAGACCGCCGAACACGAATGTGAATAATCCACGTATTTTCCGTAGTTCTGAGACATTGACGGATTTCTGAAGAACGCGATTAATTCATTCGGCTTGAGCATATCGCGCACAGATCGTGAATCGCATAACGCCGACCGATCTGCGAACGAATCTCGCGAGATCCTCAACAGAACGGTGAACTATACCTACGATACGATTCGTACTTCCAGGAACTCGGCATGCTTCGTATCAATGAACGAGCGATTTCTAGTTCCGGAAGGGCTCGAATCGGCAAATGAGCCGTCGCTGACCTGTTGAGCGGAGTCGGGACTGGGCCTGATTTTGTGCCGACAAAACGATTGCAGCAGCATAGGCACTGAATGCATCAGCGACAGCGGAATAATCCAGATGGAACCAGTCGCTCGGACATTGTCCCGAAATGCGAAGATTATGCAGATTCTCGTTTGAGCAGTTTTTACCGTTAGAGGCTAAAGGTCGTAACCCAGAAACAGTAGTTCGTCCACGCTGCGCCTCCTGCCCATGCGACGGCTGCCGCCGCCGCTGTAACCACGGGCGCCGGTGTTCATGGTTTTCGTAAACATTACGGAACCCAAATCGTGGCACATCTACTTTGGTCGTGTTCGCTATCCAATCCAAGGGGTATAAGGCATTGAATTTATTGAGAAAGAGAGAGGCGGCATGCCTTCGTCTCACGCTTGAACATGCCAACGCGATACCATCAAACATGGAAGCGATGCGATGAGTAGAAAAAGACCGGGGCAAACTTGTGAGGTGCAAGTTCAAAGGGGAAGAACAAGAGTGATCCCCTACGAGGAGTTCGATCGATCACCACTCGGCTCCTGGATTCGGTCTCGGAGCTAATGTGCGAAAAAAAATCAAGAGACCGCTGAAAGAGGCATCCCGAGAATCTGGAAAAGGCATTTCTTCCGGTGATCGAGATCCGAAAACCCGACTCTCATTTCCTGGTGGGTACTCAGTTATCCTACAGCAGGATAGATGGGAGGTCCCATCGAGGGAGCATGTCTCTTTCGTATCGATTCGATGCGATCCGGTCCAGAAAACTTCCCGAGAGGCTAGTATGCGGTCGCGAAAGTCAAAAGAGACAAGATTGTGAATAGTCACCGGGTACAGGTTACTTCTTCCACTTCTACGGCGAAAACTCATCGCGGTCGCTCCCGAGCAATGAAGTACGTGTGTTGTCTCAATTTCGCTGTACGTAAGATTGTGTGTCGCGTCGACCAAGAGCGACGGTTTCCAAAGACTCTAAGCCGTCAGTAACAATGATTGAATCCAATCGAGATCGGTCAATAATTTGAGCGGTCGAGCCGAAACGCTGGTCAGTATCTCGAATTTTCTTTTTCTCCGCTGCCGATGACGAGCTCGCTCGTCTCATGTGGTCTGGCAGAGTGTCCATGGCGGAACCAGGTGTTACATGGTGCAAACGGTCCAGAGATGGCTTTCCGAAGTCACTAAATTTAGCCGGGCACAACATCGCCCGTAAGGGGAAGATGAACGAGGATGACTGAGTCTCCGAGCTTTCTTGCCGGCAGCCTGAACGACCGTCTTGTCTCTGCTCGAGAGTCTGTCAGTCAGTCAGTCCCTCGGTCGGTCGGTCGTTCCCGTCGGATAGTCGCTCGGTCGGACGACTGCTCAACCCGAAACCCAGACGGGAGTAGTGCACTCTTGACGGACCGATTGGTCGTTCAGTCACCGTTCCCTTCGTTAGAAAAACACACCCGATACTACTCAGGGGCAATTCGTCAAAGCACTCATTGCCTGAACGGACAAAGAAGCCACGAGCTTCGCACAATATTTCGTCTCTTGTTCGGAAATTCCTCAACATATTGCGGGAGTAGAGGAAGCGGCCGATCACGAGTTCCAGCCATGTGTTCCAGCGAGACATCCAGGTTCGGAGAGCGGAAGCGCACTTCTCCCCCTCGAGAACTTCTCCCGGAGCGGCGGAAGAATGTTCACCCAGCGAAATCTTCTACACGATAACGCCCGTGATCTCGGCGTGAGGGTGAGTCTCCTGTCGGAACAGTAATTGTGGAGCCATATAAGGGAACGGAAGGTCTCGAATTCCAACTCGGAACCTGAGGGTTCGAGTTTCGAAATCTCTCAAGGCCTTTACATATCCAACTCATTATCGCTCCACTGAGACGGCTCTCGCATTCCTAATCCTCTTTCACGAATTCAAGGAGTTTCTAGGCGTCTTTTGGAGGGTTCACGTTTTCCCCCGAAAATCCCGGCTGACCGAGGAGATCCAATAGGTCGAAAGCGGTAAACTGTCAGCAATCGCATCTTTCGATGTCACCGATCGCTTGATCTCCTGTTCCCGATGAGAGACGCGATTTCGTTTTTTTTCTCGCGAAGATCCGCCGCTGACAGATACGTGGCTCCGCTGCGTTTGAGGTTCTTAAGCTCATCTGTTTCAAGATCTAGATCTTACGCGTTCGAGGCTCTGAACCCAATCTGACCGCAAGATCGTCTCCAACAACAGAGCGCCGAAAATTCTGAAAGAGCTATCCATTCGACCGACGGGCAAACGAATGAGCCAGCCGGCCGGACGGCCGGCCAACCACGCAGCAAGTTAGCTATCCGTCGTCCGACTATTCGGCTCTGGGGGGAGAGTCCGGTCGGTTCTCATCTATTCGTCTACTGTAGAAAACTACCTACGTTCCTGGTTGAGACCACCGGGCGGACCGGTGAATCGGCGGATTTTTAGGGGCCTCTCGTAGACATAACAACCGCACCCATGAATTTGAACTCCGCTTTCATGCTGACAGTCACCCGGATACCGAGGCGACTTTCTCGCGTTCCCGACGTTCCTCGCCGCGTTCCCAGATCGCCTCTGCTCGCTTGCACAATTGCACTTGGCATTCGGCCGACTCCCGCAGGCCAGGCATGATGCTCTCACAGAAGTTTTTATTCGAATCGTTCCTTCGAACAGATTGTCTAACCGCTCCACGTAGAGGTCACAGATGTCTCTGTTGACGGCCGACCGAGCTTTTCCGAACAGAAGTATTCGACTCAAGTCCAGAGCGAGCGCGACTCAGGATCCACCGCTGGCCGCAAGCGACCGCAGAGGAGGAGGACTTGCTTACCTATTGTAGGGTGCACAGAAGTATCCAAGTAGTTTTGTTTCTCTTCGAGTCACTGTTGTTATCCTTTGGTTGGAGTTCTTTCACTAATCACAGTCGCTCGCCTAGAGGCTTCGATACTAGAAGTTGGATTCTCTGTTTGCCGACCGGCTTTACTACTGCGCCCCGCCAGGTCTTTCGCTACTTTCCGTGTAACTCACGGTTGCTCTCGCAGCGCCATAACACAAGCGAGTGAACGAACGAGCGAACGAAACCCTCTCCGACTTTAGGCAGATCCTCTCCACTGGCGACGCGTGACAAACACCACCGCCAGCATCGCCACACACCGTGCACCATAGGCAGCAGCTGCGAGAGCGGCGGCAGCTGAGCTCCATGGAGCAACAGAGTCAGCAACAGACCGAGTCGATGGGGGACTCGCGAAGAAACTCAACACGGGAGCCGATCTCTTCATTTGGCGAGAGAGGGTGATGCGTCTGCGATCCTTTTCTATAGGAATGGGCGATGAGCGCTTCGGGAATTCTTGGTGATTCATGAGAGCCACGAGAAGAAGAACACGAACTCTATCACTCTATCTGACGAGAGCTAGTTGTTCGAGTTCCTTCTCGATCTTCAGAGCTTGGGATCCTGGCTCGAGCTCAAGTCGGGGTGGCTCAGGAAATCTGAATGGAAGCTCCCACATTCTGGCTCCGGATGAATTCGAAAAAAGGGTTCGGTCCTCCCGAGAGATGGCACCGGTTACTGATGAAAAAAATTCTTGAGCTCAGTGCATTCGATGATTAGACCTACTGACCGTATAGACCTCGGGCCAATTATCCGCCGTGGCTCGATTGTCAATCATTCAATAGATGTCCGAAGTGCGGATCCACTTCGTGCGGAACGAGCGAGATCGAGATCTTGATGCGAAGAATCGAGAGATGCGGAAGCCTCAAGAAGCGAGAATCAAGCCGCGCGCGATCAGGAGCCTCATTTGGATATTTATTTTCTGTGCTTTCCAGGAATTAATTCTTGCTTGGCTTCCGGCTGGAGAATGCGATCTCAGGCCTCCGCATCGATCGACTTTGAACCCGAAGGATGCATTCATCGAAGCAACTGATCTTCACCAGGAAGTGCTGATCAAGGTCTTCTTCGATTGCTTGACGAACCAAGAGAACAAACGTGGGAGAAAACTAACAAGAAATCTTCCGGAGCTCGATCGTTCACTATCTGAAACTCGGAGTTGTAACGCTTCACCTGACGCTCAGGAACAGAGTCATCGAAACACGAACGAGATGAAATCTCCCCGCCCGATGCGACAAGTGACAAGTACCGACGGCGTCGCTCAACGCAATCGACGATCGAAAGCTCTACACTCGTTCTCCCCTATTCGATTCTGAGTTATCTCGCTCCCTTTCGAAACCAAGATCGTATCAGTGAAACAACAGTTGTAAATATTGTCGCCCTCAGCGAGGAGAGTCTCAAATGGTTCCGGACGCCCGAGGAATCGAGGTGGAAGTTTCTCTTTCCTTTCGCCTCTGATGGTCATTGGCAGCCGACTGGTTGATTGCTTCCCTAAGTCGCTGGGAGAACGATGGTCGAAACCGCTCGATGTGATGGCGAAGAAGGAGGTTGGGGCGCCACACAAAACAAGAAATCATCCCGACGACCAACACTTCCCGAATATGGAACGTTTACGGAAATACAATTGTATCGATAAGAATCGGAAAAGCCGCATTGGCGTCAGATGGAGCGCCACTTGCTGACGACGACCGATAGGGATCAAAAATTTTCCGCCAAAAAATGGATGAACGTTCGCCCTGGTATTTTTTTGCTCCGGAGAATGAGTCGCCGCGGGATTGTCGTATGCTCCTAGGATGTTCCGTTTTTTTTTCGAGGACCGGGTATTCAACGGAACATGTGGGATGAATTGTTCTACGAGGACATCATCCTTATTCAGCATCGTGCCTATGATCCCATGTCCCATGCATTGATCGAAGATTTGACGTGATAAGATGATGTCAGTGCCCGGTTCCGAAGCGAGCCATAATTTCTATATTATTTTCGTATACACATATACATATTGATGAATCTAATTATTTATTCACACCTTCAAACTATGTATAGTATTCGAATTAATCATACTTTTTCCACTCGACGCGATGATGATCGATACCGCGGAGCCCACATGCTCATCAGGTGTTCGACGGTGAGCATTTTCTTCCACTTCAAGGAATTGCGGGCTTGCAGGGCGCGGGGACACAGGGATTGCTTGCCGTCCGGTTTCTCACGCGCCAGACGAGCGATCGGTTTCCTTTTTCCATCGGACAGGAACTCACAGTTAGTCATAGACCGGGAGCATTCCCTGGTGTGCGAGGAATCTTGACTCCGGGCTCGATTCGATGTCGTCCGTGGGGCGTAAATTTTCTCAGAAAAATTCGGAAACAAGAAAAGTCGAGGGGTCGTACGCTGCGGGGAAACGAATCATTCGAGAAGCGAAGCGAGAGATGAACAATGAGCAGGAATACCGAGGAGCAGAAATTCGAATTCGGTGCTGGACGCAATAGTGTGAATCTGATTCTGCTCCGCTTGTTGTGATTGATTATCATCCTTATCTCGAAGTGATTTAGAGCTGCGGATATGAATGCACGGCAGTTGCGTGATATGAATGCATGCAGGCTCACGATAGCCTTTGACGCATTAGTCTTATGGAATTCCGAAATGGAATGCGGTCCGCTAAAAGAATCGTGGGCCATCCATCCAGGATACGTAGATTCAAATGCCCATTTGGAAATGAGCGGTGCTCGACGCGACGACGCTTGATCGGACCTTTCTGGCAGATGGATGGATAGATTCGCCTTCGTATGTACCCACAACAGCGCAGTGCTCGCTAGTATTCGACATATGTCATTCCCGAGGAACGCCGTCCCTGTGAGGAACGGTTGTCGATCCCCAGGGATGCGCTCGGACTGGAGCTTCTTCAAAACCGGGCATTTCGATATAACGAGCACTCTTCAGACTCCTTCGAAAAGTCGTAATCGGGTCTTATTAGTCGTTCCCTCGGGAGACATAAAAAATACCGATTGCCGTACCATGATGTTGCATGTACTTGAGCCAATGAAATGATTCTCTACCGTACAGCTAGAATCGGGATGTCCGGTTTTATAGGAGCTCTACCTCGGACTCATTTTGCGAAGTTCCCTCCCTAGTCATGGGAGGGAGACTCATCATCATCACAGTTCACGGCAACGTCAGGAGCCAGAGAAAGCGTTGGCCGAACGTCCCAGCTCAGCATTCAGCCGTCAAACCGCCACCTATTTTCCCTGCTTGCTCAGTATTCGACGGGACGCCCGAAGTGATCCTAGAAGCAATCGGTTGTCGAGTGAACATAATATATTTTTGTACAGAGGACGGTTCATGACAGAGTCAGATCCTAGTTGAGGCGGGTGGTAGCAGTCTCGTGACAAGTCGGCTTATTATATCTAGCTCCGAGACTGGTCACCGCGGACCTTGTTCGTGATTCGCGGAATCCGGCCCTGGGGTGAGTTGTTGCTTGTGTCGACCGCAGGACCTAAAGGTGTGCTCTGTGTCAACCGCGGGGCATTCACTGGAGTCGTCTTCGCGTCGGGAGTCTCGACATCTGCTTTCAGATCGGACGCTCTTGTCGTGGAAGCCTGAGATCGAAAATAACTTCATAATTCTGGAACATTGTCGACAGTCTTCAAGACACGATGAACCTTCAGTCCCGCGATCTAGCCCTCGATCCCCAAGGTTCGGTGATAATAATTCAGATCATACATTTACAACCGAGCATTCACGCCTACACGCTAACTTTCTTACCCGTCTCGGTGCGGTGTGTCTCTGAGTGACGAATTTCACGCGGCTCGTGGGTGCCGTCGTTGTGTGACGCCTGTGCAAGAGCAACGATCCCAGAACATTTTTCCCGAAGGCTTGGCCCAGAATACAGGGGAGGAGGCTCACCACTGCGAGCTGGAAGAGATCAGTCGGCATGAATCGCGTATTCTCTTCTCCAGTCGATGATCTCGTGAGTTTCGTACGAATATCGCTTCGAGCGAGATAAAATTCTCTCGCGAATGATTGTCCCCCCAGACGGTCTCAGGCTGCATAGGAGATAGCAACTCGATGCGTGGATGCGCCCTTGATTGCCAGCATCAATGGCGGAACGATGACGATTTGGGGATTCCGATCGTAGAGGTGAGGATGACATCCCCGAAGATATTCCCTTGACGGCATGAATGAAGGTCGAAAAATGAGGCCGCGAGCACCTTGCAAAGTTCCTATGATCCATGCACTCTGAGGCAAGGCTCTTCTCCCTCTTCCAGCTATCGGCCGAAAGACGCGGAGAAACACGCTGTGATTGAACGACCGCTTGTCTTTTTCAATCATGCCCGATTGATCCGAAAGTCGCATTGATCTACGACGCTAGCAAAGAGACACCGTGCCGTTGGAAGGGACCACGGCGCAAATCGTGCGCGTCCGCAACTCCATTCCGCTGAGCATCGACCAGTGGATAGAGCATCGAGAATTTTTTCCGATTGCCGTCCGGAGCTTGCAGCCCCAGGCATGCACTGGAATGCGTTTGATTGAGCGGGCATGCAGAATTATTTCCCCGAGCAGAAACTATTCGCATCCCTGCGGAGCAATCAGCGGAGGCGCAATAGGTTTAGCGCGTTTCGCCTACTAGTGTGAAAACTTCAGATCGCCGAAAACACTCACGACCACCAAGATGATGCGAAGATGGTTCATGGTTGAAGGTTCCACTTTAAGTGTTTCGAGGAGGCCAGAATCGTTGGCGGTATGATGGTCCCGGGTGAGGGAAGCAAATCACTAAGAACCGCGATCTCCAATGTCTGTCTCCGTCGCGAATGCAGCTCGTACCACTGGAGCCTTTTCTCAGTGCCGCCACCGCTCCGTGCTTGAGCGCACTCCAGACAGAGCAGAGAGAAGTCGATCGAGTTGATCATCGAGTGCGCGACCACGCTCAACGAGGTCTCTGAGCCAACACACAATAGATCGAGAGCGAGAATATCCAGAACTTCACTGGCTCATGCCGCCTGAGCGTCTCCACTTTCTCGAGTATTCCCCACGAGGATCGAAGAGACGCGTACCGCGTGAAGAGGGGCGCCGCAGCACGGCAAATGCGACAGAAAATGGTTCGCTGTACAGAGCACACTTTCTTCCGCTCATTCTTCGGGCAAAGGACGCGCGGGGATTCCCGGGGAAGAGCGAGGGGAGCCGATTGGCTGCTCCAGGTGTCCGTCTCGTCCTACGTGAGCGAAGTCGGGTCTCCTACTCCAAGAATCGCCAACCCCGATGTCGGAAACGAATCGTCTTCGCTCCGGATATCGACCACGGAGAGCATGGAGACGGAGGGCAAAGTCGTTCGGCGTGGAAGGAAAAAACATGTTTACTGGCGCCGCGAGCAGGCGCGACATCGAGCCGGAAATTTCAACCCGGCATGTGAATTGTTGTTTCTGCCGACAGCAAAAAAGCTTCGCTGTCAGAAACGATTAGTCGCGGGGATTCAGATTTACTGCATTAGGACGCTGCCTCGGTTTCCACCGACAAGCTTGGCTTGAAAGCTCATTAAGACTATTTCTACTCGGGGAACTTTTTGCTCGACTGGCGGACTCGACCATCGTTCAAGATGTTCCCGAACAGGTCAGACAAGCGTGATAAGCCGGAGGAAACATTTCTCTCGCTGCATGAGTCGGGAGAGAAGCCACAAATGAGACATCTCGATTTTCCATCTTGAGCCGCATGTTCGGGACTCGGGCTGCGCTTTCGCAATGGTTTCAAGTCCCGAGAAACGGAGTTCTGGCACTCGATCCGGGTTTTCCAGAGGCAATTATTGAAGAGGGCGCTCCGATCCAGGGAGCTTCTTCTCAAGATCGTTAGCGCGAAGATCATTAGCTAGACTCATTCAGGCAGAACTTGTGTGTCCTTCCTTAGGCTTTCCTTCGTCCGCATCTCGTGTTTCCATTCAGGTCCTCGTCGTTCTTGTCCCCACGTGCCGTTCCCACAATCTGCATTGGGAGAGTCTTGAGGGTCGAAGGTGTTTCTTTCTTCCTCTCTGACCTAGATTGGAGCTCTCTGCTCGTTGGATCTAATCAGCTTCACTATCTATTCGATGTTCGTGCTTCCATTATTCCGTCGACATCCACTTTCTCGAACAATGTCGCTTGCTACAAACTACCTGTTTTATTAGATTTCTTCGGAAGGGTCGGATTCGCTTCCAAAAATAAACTCTGCTTCTCGAATCCCTTCCGGAGAGCAAGACCGCTTTGAGGGATGTAGCGAAGAGCATCGCCATAAAGGAATCATTCGAGGGAAGACATTCTCCTTGGGATGCAGAGCCTCCCTTCGGACACAGGTGGTTTGTGAACGCTTGGAGAGCGAGTTTTCTACTAAAAGTCGCATCGACGTGTGCCTGTGACCAGGACGGCCTCGCAGACTTTTGATTGTTGGTTTTTCTTCAAAACTGACGACGGGATCGATGCGAAGTTTATAGAAAATCCTGAACAGACAAGTTCGATTGGGGTCTCGCTTGCGCATGGCAGCGATTCCCGAGTCGATGCTGCTTTTCTCGGATCTTGCAGCAACCCGAAATTGCTATATTTTGTCACTTGGACTTGCCCTATCAAAGAGTTACAGACAGGGGATCCAATCGGGGATTCGACACTCGTTCGGACCAGCGTGGGAACTAACGCGAATAATCTAGTGCAAACATGCATCCTTGGATGATGTGAGGGGAAGCGCCTTCTCGATCAAACCCGCCGGAGACACCTGTTGAAGGTTGCCGGCGAAGGAATCTAAGCGTTTCTAGACTCGGTGAGACGACCCTCGGTCATGTTATTGGATCTCGTTGATGCGAGGAATTTCCGGGAATTGCTCCGCGATCAGACCGAAGACGAGTTGAGACCACCTGAGTTGTCCGATTGAGTAAGCACAATAGGAACTTGCACGGAGCTGCGTCTTCCTTCGAATCTTGAACCTCCCCCGGGAGATAGTCCGATACGGGGCGCTATATTCCTTGATTACACCCTGGATATCCTCGCACGAGAGCACCCGAATTCCAGAGTCAATCCTGGTCCCCAGCTAACGGTGCGAATCCGATGCCGAATGGGACGAGGCAACCCAGCAGCTCTATGCTCCTTTATAATTCCACCCTGAGACGACGGCCGCGGGCTCTCCGCGACTGCTGGTAAGGAATACTCCCCTCGATGGGTTCCAGCGCGAGTTATTTGATGATAATCCCTCGCCGATCTAGGAGTGATGACTGATGACACTCCCGAGGGCGGAAGCATGCGTTCATCCTCGCGACATGCGATCGGCTCTCGGGGGGCGGAACGTAAGCAATACTTACCTGCTCTCGAAAAAAACGTCGGACAGCAGGCATGATGCTTCCAAATACGGATACCTTTCTCGTCCACACTCCAAGAAGCTCATCGCTGAGGCTCGAACGCTACTCGCGGTCAGTCTTCTCGACTCGCTCTGGACGACGAACTCGACCGCAAGATGTGGAGATCTAGACTTCCTGGAGCGATTCGTATACCCGGAGCGTGATCGCGAAGCTCGCGCGACTTGAAGAGACTGGGACCGTAAAGCAAGCTCCGCTGACTTTGCTTCGAACAATTGTACATCAAGCTTGAAGCTCCGAGAATTTTATCATTCACGCAGTCGGGCTGAATTACTCTCATCCCCGCATTGTCTCCTGTGCTTCCTCCTGTCAAGGTTCCATCCAAGTTTCCGCTTTTTCCGCCGCGAATACCGTCTGGGCGAATGTATATCCGCGCACCTAGCTAAGAATCTGTACCGAAATGCCTCTCGGGTGGGGGAGCGTTCCTCCTCCTCAGCCGAGGGTTCAAGTGCTGTGCACGCTGCATTTAATCAGCTTCACTATCTATTTGATGTTCGTGCGCCCTCTCCATCGAAGTTCCCGAACAATGTCACTCGCTCCAGAGTAAGTGGGTTACTGGATTTCCCCAAGGCGTTCGAAGTCGCTTCTAAAAATAATCTCTGCTCCCCGAGTTCCCCCCGGATGGCAGAGCCGCTCTGGAGAAAAGGAAAGAGCGCGGTCCGACACTGACTCGCCAAAGAGCAAGGCTTCTGATGGAAATTCAGAACGTTCCGGCGGGCACAGGTGTCTCCGGGAACACCTGTAAGCAAAAACCCCGCGGCTCGTTTCGGAAGACCGCGTTTTGATTCAGCTTCAGGGTTCGAAAGGAGCTCGTTCGGCTGGAGCGAGATTTCTCCATGAGACGCGGGTCAGAAGACGGAGTCGACTTTCTCGCGCATTGGAAATAGACATAGCCGATGAGAGCCTGGAAGCAAATCGAATCTCATTACCTCGACCGTTTGTCGACAATCACTCTTCTCGGATCTCAGAGCAAGCCTAAAAATACACGCTTCCACTCTCATGGTCGATGTTCGTCCGGGAACGGAGTCAAGGCCTCGAATTCGTCCTTCAACTCCCTCGGTCGCTGGTTCGAGAGCAGAAGCATTGACGATGTGGGAACTCAATCAGGACATTCGCGCCTGAAGAGACCCGCCTGGAATCGTTCGCGAAGAACCTCTTCCAAGCTTGTATCCTGAACTGATGTTTCGGAGGAGCGCCCTCTATCGAGCTCGCTGGAACCACCTGTGGAAAGTAGCCGGCAAAGGAATCTCGGCATCTCTCCACACTCTGTGAGCAGCTCCGCGAGAAGACACGGCGGAGAAAAGTCCGAAGATTCCGTCAACTTGAGTGGGATCTAAGGCTTCGCCAAGCATGAATGCGATGCTCGACCAGATCCTCCAAGGATCCAACCCACAGGCAGACACCGATTACTACCAGATCATCGGATGCGACGAAACCGCTAACGTAAGCGCGGAGACGGGAATCCCACGGGCTGGACGATTGCGCCCATCCCAGTGCGCAGAAGTTTTTGTTGTCTTTTGTTCCCGTACGGGGAGGGTTTGAAACAGTGAGCGTGATTTCATTCCGATTCGCTATCGTTTCAGGAAGAACAGATCCAGGCAGAATACAAGCAGAAAGCCCTTCAACTGCATCCTGACAGGAACCGAGACGACGCTGCTAAGCAACAGTTTCAACTGTTGCAGGAAGCACGGGAAGTGCTGCTCGACGCCGAGATGAGAACCAAGTACGACCGGTGGAAACGCTCTGGACTCGCCGTGCCATTCAAACAATACGCCAATGTCAACAATATTGTGAGTAGTACAAGTCATTTTCCTCGTCTGCTGAGATATCCCATCCCAGGAACAAAGACCGTCACCGGTCCTCCCGAACAAGCGGTAGAAAGTTCATGAAGGGGGCGTCCCGATCATCCGGAGCAGTTGCGTAGTGTGCTAGAGATATTCCTGCTTCCAATGGCACGCGATGAAGTCGTGATTCAGATATTTTTTTCAACGGATTTCAGTCGTTCCACTGGGCGAGTCGTGCCACGAAAGAGCTGTCGGTCACCGACGGCTCCGTCGCATCGCTATCAAAGAAAGAAGATATGGATTACGCGAGGCGACAAACATTAACTGGGGCGGAGTCTTCGCTGAGCAACTGGAGGGCGCAGGGTGCGACCGCCGACGAACTCCTCAAAAAGTTCCGGAATTACGAGATTTAGGTCCGATCTTAACCCTGGAGATAACGCCGCCCGCGAGCTCCGTGACGTCTTGCGTCATGTCCAGCACACAGTTTCCAGTGAAGCTCAGGAGCACGTGTATCTAGTCGGAATGATGTGTGATTCAAAGTAGAAGCACCCAGAGGATAGATCGAGGGACCAGGTTAGCTCTTCTTCTGGCCCTCACGATTGACATTGAGACCTCGATGCACTGACTGTCCTCGTCGTTAGAGAAATTTCACCATGAAAAGTCAGCGGTGTTCGTGGAATACACAAGCGTCGCGATTAGTGCTCGAAATAGCTCATCGACGTTGGAACTTCGCCAGGTCGCTTCCGGGCATAATGGTGGACGGAAACACCGACGGATAGCGACGTAGACAGGCCGACCTTCCTACGGGCGAAGGAATCCGACGTAACTTTGTAGAGATAGTCAATGGAAGGTCATATACATATTAAGGGGAGATCTCAAGGGACATCCACGGGACCTCGCCAGGCGAGCCTCCGTCTCCTGTTGTGTAGGCGTCGTAGGGCGTAGGAGGATTGGTTGTCTGTGAAAACTGGGGATATTCGAACGATTGTCGGAAATATTGCTGTCAGATGGCGCCTTCCTTATCGTTTCCGGAAGGAACGACAGGTCTCGAACTATAGAATAAAAAGCTTCTAATTGTCTCTCTGCCAGGAAGTACCTTCTGAGATGTACCCGTTCTTCCCTCCGAGTCCTTTAGGAAGACGAGTTCAGGAGTCCAGTAGCTCCCGACATCTAAGATGTATGGCACGCTAACAAGAAGAGCTCCTTTTAAGAGTTTTTCTGTTTAATCAAAATCGGGCATGACGTACATTGTTTGACTGTTCCGGGTTTCATGTTCACACATTGACTTGAATCCAGGCTTTGACTTGGGCTCCCACCAGGTTACCGAGTATGTACAGTACCACTCAAATTTACAAACTTCTTCACTCCATACAGCGATGGGAAAAATGAGAAGATTTCTCCCTCAGTCTGCGCCCGCCGGTAGGAGCGAGCCTGAGAGCTTTTGTAGAGAGTTCCATCATACAGGAGGTTTTCGTTGAGAGCTCAATCTTAATTTAAATCGACAGGGTTCTTTGCCGTTTTAGCATCTTTCCTCCAACAGGGGTCGACTAAACCGATCAATATTAAAAGCAGATTTCCGATGGGATTCCATCCGGAAGCGGCTACAGGAGTCTCAGATCACAACACAAGGAGAAGTGATCGGACGGATAGGCAAGAGAAGGTGCTCTTCCCTCTCCTAACTGCTCTCCTGAAGGCATGCTCAGGACCCTTTCAGGAGTGAAATTGTTCCGAGAGTAGAAAATGTAGTCGATCGTGTGACACACTTCCCCATCTTCTCGGACTTTCCAAGTGGTGTACTCCGGCTCCCGCTCGTCGGGGTTCACCATGGCATAGCTGCTACTGACTTCGCCCAACTGGATCATGGTCCTGAAGAGCAAAATACTCTTACTCCTCATATCGCAGGATGTCTAAGGATTTTTGCATTATTGAGGCAATCTCCTGTCGCAAGCGCGAATGATACTTGTGCCTCCTGATATTGCCTTCGATCTCTATTACCGACTGCTCTAATCCTCTAGAAATAATCACGCGTGAGGACTCACCTGTACACCGGTTCCGAAGGCTCGGCGTTGAAGTCGCCCGCGTAAATGACGGGCAAGTTCTGTGAATTATTGTTTTTGACGAACTGCAGTAGATCCTTGCCTTGTTCGTTGCGGAGTGTTGGCAGGAGCGCTCCCACGCGGGCTTTGAGATGTGTCGTCACGACACAGAACTTCCGATTATCGAGCTTACGCTGGAAGGTGCACATCACGACCACCTGCAGCAGAGTCCCTCTGTCATAAACTCTAACTCGGGATCAGTATTGAATGTTATATACTTGGAGCGAATAAGCGGCAGGGAGGTTTGGTTGGATATCTGGCGGTGAAACTTTCTCAAACGAACCTGATTGCTCTGGCAGCGGAATACTTCCAGCACCTTCTGCTCGATTCTCAGTAACGTATATTTGCTCGCATCGAAGAAGATCGCACAGCCGTCCGGACCGTTGTTCCCTTTGTTATAGCAGCAGGGGCTGTCGGGTTTGGGGAAGAAACATCCCTGGAAGCCGACTTTGCCCAGGGTAGCTTTCAGGAAATTGTAGTGGTCGACCTCTTGAAGGCAAATAATATCTGCTCCGTAGGTGAGAACTTCTTCAAGGATCCGCCATCGACGGTGATTCCAATGAAGAGCCTCCTCCGGACAGACGAATTTATCGGACTTCTCGGCGAGCGCTGCGGAAGAATAAAATAGTCAGTCAGCAACAGATCATTTATTCAACTCGAGAGTCGATTAATTCGGGTCCAATCGCTCAGGATAAGCACTCGTTCTCCCGCAACCAAATTTCTCCGTGACGGGAATTCCACCGTCAGAATTTGATCGCTCAATCGAATCTCTCTCTCTGTTGGGAACGTTCTGTGCAGCGCTATCCGATCAAATATAGCCGTGGAGGGCGATTCGCTTTTGGAGAACAATTATTTTTAGGGAGGCGATAAGCTCGTCGGCTCTAGTGGCGATAGTCGAAGGTCACTCACATTGTGCGAGAATATTCCACTGCATTATGCGGATTGTGTCCGGGGAAGCGATGTGTTCGGCGTTCTCGGCCTCGACGAAACTCCGACCGATCATTGGAGGCAGCGAGCAGAGTTCACTGCGACATCTTTCAAGGAGTCCAAGGCGAGTCGAGGGCAGTTGAGAGGCGTCCATCGATGAAGCTTCAGCCTCGACGTCTTGATCGGCATTGTCTTCGCTGTGGATTTTTGCCCGTCCAGCCAAACTGCCCATCCTGGGGACGAAGGGGAATCGTTAAAATATTCCGGGCTGCATCAACCGACATTCTGAAATTCTAGAGCGCCGACATTCCAGAGAGAATATAGGAAGAGCCTTGGGAGGTACAGCTCAGTCTTTTCGCCTTATTGATATGCGATATAATAATTATTGAACGGCAAGATGTTCGCAACACGGCAGGATTGGAGATCCGATGGATGGCATTCGGGCTGTTCCTTGACGCGCGAAACCTTCCCAAGAACATGATTTCAGACGAAATCACGATCGAACGAGAGGAGCTCGGTAACTTTCCCTCCAGGAGCCCGACTTGGCCAGATACGAAAGTATCCAGCAAATTCTAACTGTAAAATTAGGCAAATCAGTTTTTCGACGCTACCTGGGTACAATAGGCTCCCCTTTCATGCGACACTCCACGCAACGGGTGCTTTTTCGCCTGTCGTAAGAACTCGATTCCAGATCACAGTCGTTCATTCGGCGAGAGTCTCCCGGATGTCACTAGACAACTCAGTGTTCTGAGCAAAGAATAGGTACCCGGGCGACTCCAATAATTTAGAGTATCAGATACTGGAATACTCGAGTTACCGAGTCCTTCGGAATATCCTCATTCAGCCAACGTGGAGGTCAAGCTAGAACTCTCGTTGCCAGAACGCCCTGAGCGTCCACTCGAGCCTCATCGAGCGCTGCTCCCGCGAACAGTCCGATGCGCCGACCAAGGACTCATGCATCATGCCGCGACTCGATGTCAGTAACTCACATGAAGGCCACAGCATCAATCATTTCCTTGGAGCTGTCTCAGCGTTCATCGTGAGTGTCTTGTACATTCTGCGCTTCCAAGGGCTTTCGATTCATTGCTGGACTCCTTTATCCACAAAGAAATTGAGTGCAACAACAAAGCTCGTGTCGACTCGAGACGCTCACTCGAGGGAGCTCGAACTCTCGTCGGAGAGTCGCCTGCCTGTCGCTCGCGTACGCGCAGCTCGCTCGCGGAGGCAGCCTCTAAACAAAGCTCACCTCTTGTAAAAGTCGCAGATCACCGCCCGGAGCGATAGAGCACGGACGGAACACGCTGTTGGCGTAGAGAATGGGAACGGCATCGGGGACGGGACGAGGGCAAGAGGAATCGATGATCGTTCCGAAATCGTAGAAAAAATTGCTTTTCGGACCGTTTGACTTCCGAGCGGCACGAGTGCTCGTACGCTCATCACAGTTTTTTCACTCCCAGCCCTCCTTGCCTAACTGCCAGGTGGTCTCCAGCATGTACGAGATGGGAAACAGCTGATTCACGTGTTTTTTCTTTAGCTACAGCCGGTTTCCGTGGACTTGCATCCGAAGATCTAGGTGACACCGGGCGGTTCTCGGCTCTCATTCACCATGAATCCAGGATCTTCCTTCGCACTGTCTCAGCAAATCACCTCGAGCACGAAACGAACAGCGAAATCCCCTTTAACGGAAGAAAGCGGCGTGGATTGTCCGGAATTCAGCCGGTTCCACGGCGCTCTCGATTCGCTTCTTTGCAGAGTTCGATCGTGTTGTACTATGTAGTTGCGGTGACAAACGCCAGACGGCGCTCAAGTGCTTCAGCCGCCGCGACCAGCCATCGAGAACTCTTGGAAGCTTCCGACAAAAATTACTCCAGTACATTCATGAGTTAGGAAAAGCGAGATTGAATTCTTTTCGATTCTTGATCTCAGGGGAAGAAATTTCACCCCTCCCGGATGGAACGCCAGCCTTTCGGGAAAGATCTCGCTGTAATCACTATGCCGTCAGAAGCTCATCGAATTGCCCACTACGGGAATTTAGTAAGCCGAACCCCGGATTCCTAACTGTTTGACTCGAGTTGAAGTGAGAAAGAGCTTCGGAGAAGGATTGACTGCAATCGTTCCCGTGCCCGTCATTCGAAGGCAGAGTGGGAATCCTGTGGCAGATCCCTTGAAGTGGGAAGAGTTGTGTGAGTGCCCCATGGAATCTCTCATCATGAACCGAAGCTCGAGAACATGTTTGCGAGGGAGAATTCATTGAGAAAACTATATACCATCGCAAGATCTATTCGAGCCGATGATAGTCGATGCAAACGGCAAGAGCACGACCCTCCCACGCCTATTAGAAGAGGGTAGCTTTATGAGATGTGAGCCATCAACCTTTGACAAGTGACGGAAACTGATATCCGTATCTCTATAGCCTGGAGACTCCGAGTCCAGCGGGCGCGAAATCCCTCCGGCCAAAATCGCTGTTTGGGGCATAGAGAGGATCGATCCCTTGGATTGTAATTGATCGAGACTTCATTACTTCAACTTACCAAACCAGCATCATCGTGATTCATGGCGAAAGCTCATGTCAAACCACTGGCCGACGATGGACTGCTCGACCTCCTTCACCGGAGAACGCAAGAGAATCATTCGCTCGAACACCGAACGAAGACAAATACGGAGTAATGGTCCCCAAGTTGAGTGCCACAATGAGACCGGTTAAGACCGATATCCGCGTCAGAGCTATCCCGAGCAGCTTTGCATCGCTGAGGAACAACGTCGGGTAGCAGAACGACTCAGAGACGAAGAACACCTCAGCGACGAGGAACGATGTCGATTCCGTGTCGCGAACAACAACCCCACCTGTCGGGACCTACGAAGGTCAACAGCGACATCCTATCACTGGCATCTAGATCCGACCGATCCGAGGCCACTGGAATGAGTCGCTGAGTCGGAAAATCGCAAAGGTCGACCACCGGAGCGCACCGCAAAACGTCACAGGTGATCGGGACTAGACGTATCCCAGATGTCGCGGGTGCGAATGTCATCGGCAAACGAATTAATCTGCCTCCGGCTATCGGAGGAATGCAGAGAGAGAGAGACGACAGATTCTATTCGAGCCACACCTACAGAGGCGTTCGAAGAACCCACACAACTTCATGTAGGCGCACAAAAGAGAATCGATCTCGACTACTACGTACATCCGCAGTGACAAAGATCCATTTTACGGCTGTAAGCTGCTCTAGCAGCGGTCACGCATAAACCTACGTACGAGCTAAAAAAAGCAGTCGTTCCACTCGAGCGGACTCGAGTTTCACCCTTTTCCTCACCTCACGGCATCGTAGGCCTCGGTCAGGGTGTGCGGGTCCGGCGGAGGGGTGGCTGCCGTGAGGTACGCCACCGAGGTCGAAGCTCGGGCTCGCTGCTTCTGATTCGAGTAGCCCTCGTGACGGGACACGGCGGGAATCAGGGAACGTTGTCCTTTCGACAGGAGAACGTTTCCCACTCGGGCCGTCCTCAGGAAACGCTGGGCCGGCTGCATCGCGAAGCGGAGAATGACGCCGAGTAGTTTCTCAATTGTTGCGGTTTCCAAAACGCACTCAAAGGCGGGTGAACCTCGAACCGGGGTCACAAGTAGGCGAAACACGAAGCGGGTAGAAGTTGAAGTAGAAGCTCAGTGCTCAACAGGCAGACCATAGTATCACCAAATGCAGCGCCGCATTCGAGCACGCGCTGATATCCTCTGGAAGTCCCTCACCGTTTCGAGAGAGCTGCTACCGCTCGAATGGCTTTCCGGCCGGCAAATGACAGCGATCGAGAATGAGGGTGGGCCGTTCCAAATTCTACTTTGTCCCCCTCGCTCGCCGTCACATGATACCAGAGGAGTAAAGGTGCATGCTCGCTCGACACCGGCACCGTAAAGACGTTTGAACGTCACTTGGCCGCTCGCACTCAGAATAGCGATCATTTGTGCGCACTTGTCCACGAATCGGGACGCTCGGTTGACCAAATGCGCGCGCTCGCAGATCGCGATTCCCTCCACGCCAAAAATATTCGAACAAACGTTTCGTTGCGTTCTGATATCCCCCCGCAAGATAATCGGTGGCCGCATCAGGCCAAACCTGATATCAATATCAGAGTCTGGAACATGCTATTTGTTTCAACAGGGGAGAAATCGAAATCGATGTGCACAGCTCATGGAGAGTCGGCAGGCGGGCAGACGTCCGATTCTACGGCGACCAAAGGCTGTCATTGTAAACCCAAAAGCCTTAATAGACGAGGCAGTGACTAACACGGATGGAGGGACTCCTAGGTGGTTCAACTCTTCTCGAGAAGAGGGATACCGCAACGGCAACCTGCCTCGATGCTCAGTTGAGGCTGAGCATGACACCGAGCCGGATAAGAGGATTACGTCTACTGCATTCTCCTGGTCCCATCTTCTTCTCAAAAGCGGAATGCTCAAAATTGATGAACGAAGAACGGGTCGCTTGTATACGCATCCTGAACGTGATACACGGGAGCAGCTCGAAGCCAGGGAGTCTTGCTATTCAATTCGGCTAGGATTCGGATTCAAAGATACTATCCTGGTCGCGGGGCGACTCCCCCGTGGCGACCCTCCCAGCTCCGCGTTCTCTCTATCTAAACACTCATATCGGAGTAGTCTTCATCTATGGGCGGCTCGAACGCAAGAAAAGTCGACTCGACCGGATCGGCTCCATGTTTCTCCATATCATTTATCTTGCGGCGAGCGGCACTCTGCCAGGATCCCGAAGTAATTCCGGGAAATATACCGCGGTTCGAGATCTGCTGTCGAGCTCTTTGCTCGACGACTTGACACCAGCTTGGCAGGGCAAGTGAGAGGCGTCGGTATGCCGTGGGGCCGCGTCACCAAAATGTAGGCAATGGTTTGCCGAGAACATGCCAGCAGTCGCTCAAATGATGTGGTGATGACACAAAGTTGTGCGGCTATCATTCGGCAATCTATTGTTATCGCCTGAGATATCTCCGGCGGAATTGTCGGAACCGGATGGTGAGACAACGGCAGAGAAAAATCGACAAAGCCGTTGTCAACGGATCGCACGCCAGCGGATAGGCGGAACTTGTCGAGAGCTCCTCGTCACCATCTCTCCAGGCGTCTTGTAAAGATCTGCTGCCGAATCTGCGACCTATTCACGGATACAATGTTCCATTATGGTCATCCAGAGTCCCTCGGACACTTCCTTCCTCCTCGACCAAACTTTGCGATGCACGCAGTAATTCCTCTCGATCATGGACTGGGGAGTCAGCCGCGGGCGGGAATTTGGCGTCATTCCCGCCAATTCGGAAACCATAGCCCGATGGTGATCTCGAGGAACGACGATGGCGTGGTGCGGAGGTCTCAGGATGAGCGCACCCGCGTTCAGGACGAGGAGCGAAGGAAGATAACACGTGAGAAACGCATTCCCTGACTCGAGTCCATCTCCTTGACCACCCAACAACCCACATCGAGTAGTGCCAAGTGATATAATCACTTTTCGATAATCTACGGACTTCACACCGAGATGAAAATCAGCTCAAACTGTTGATCTCATCATTTGGCTAGTTCTGCGAGGCTGAGGTGACCGCCGAGTCTGCTTGTCGGACACTGTCGTTTGAAACCGGTACCGCGGCGCAAGAACCGTCCAGAGAAACTCTCAAAGAGTCTCTCACATCCGCTCCGTTGAGCTCGTCGCTTCTTGCCTGTGCGAATGGTTTATGTATTTCCTGCTTCGCTTCCCCCTGAGTGTCTATCTGCTCTCTTTCAGCCTTCCTCCGTGCTTCCCGTGGACGCTCTCTGCCTGTTTTATTTATTTACGGAACCTCCGGAGTTCTCTGTGTCACGAGATCAAGCGATCAGATGCGAAACAATGATCCGCTTGCGCGGAATCGGATGCTCGAGTTGATTGTTCTTCGTTGACAAGCGACGATCGAAATCCATATGCAATAATTTTTCTCAAGTAGACAGAAAAAAACGTCGACAATCTAATAGGAATTCATCATCAGTGACAGAGTCTTCAGAGCTTCGGAGATTATGGGATAACTCTTCAGCGTCCGAGTTCTCGGTTTCTGCTGCCATCAAAATCGCTTGCCGACCCGGACCAATGAAGTAGTGCGCTACAAGGATGAATGTTCCCTCGATTCGAGAGAGAAGAAGACAAGAAAACGAGACGTCGATCCTCGAGGGCGCTCGGTCTCCCATGTTAAATGGAGCATCGCAGGATTCACGGACCGACCAGCTCGAACTCAGGATGCCGGTTCCATTTGAGTGACTTCGAAATGTCTCGGTCAAACAGACTCGCAACTTTGTTCTGCCGCTGTTCTCTCCTGTGCTAGAGAGCCCCGAGCCGGCAAAAGGGCTAACGTCCTTGAAAACGGGCCGAGGACGGAATCTCGTTAGCCACCGCGGTTTTCTCTAGCAAGACCTTAACCCACCTTGACAGGTGCCGTCGGCTACGAGGCTCTTCCACTTCTCACTCACACTCATTGAGCTCCTCTCCATTGCGTTGTCAGTGATTCGACTCCATACCAGAGACCTGCATCGGCCACGCATGGAGGAAGTACTAACAAGTAGCTTATCGATCTGATATGGTAAAAGATCTACACGGCGGTTTCCACGCAACACACTACTCTTAACTCTCAAAACTTACAATTAGCCAAACTTGGGAGGAAACTCATCACCAAGACCTTATCACGACCTTCTCTCCGTTCTTGGCGTTGGTCTGCTCTGATGTCAAGCCCTGGAGTCCTCAAGGCTGCTTTTACGCACGAGGCTATAAGTCACGAGGTCTCGGTGTAGCGCCCGGCAGCAGGCTCGGGCTCCCATCGTCTTGTGCGGAGCAATCCTTCAGCAGCCTCGATTGTCTCTTCGAGTTTCGCTCCGTGTAACCGGAGCGAAATTCGTTAGTCCCGTGTAAACGAGACCGGAAGCTTGAGCAAATCCCATGCTGTACGATTCCAGGTGTTGGTCAGCCTCTGACTCGAAAGTTTTCAGCTGCTCTCTGCCGGAGGCGGACTTGTTTGCGGCGCTTCACGCTCTGACGGGAATACCTCGAAATTTTGATTCGGTCTTCGAGCAAGTGTCGCTGTCGCTATGACACCTTTGCTTTCCGCCGATCCGAAGCTGCACAGACCAAGAATTGTCGAGCTGCCGTAGCGCCATACCACGCCAAGCCTCCGAAACTTTCCTTCTTCCGCAGGAAGGCGTAGAGGGGCTCGAGGCGCAGAACAGAATAGCTATCGTCTACGCGCGGGAAAATCCTCATAGGAGGCTCATATGGGCTCTGGAATTCAACCCGAAGCTCCAAGAGGCACGTTACCCAGCTCGCTTCCCCTGAACCCTGCGATGGCGCTGGCTGAATAGACGAGGCATTTGGGAAGAATGAAGACCGAGGATGGACGACGATTCGTTTCGGACGCGAAAAACTCATCTAGCGGTTGCCATGCTGCAAGGCGAGTGTTTGATACTAGCCCAATCGAAACTGCATCGCAAGGTTATTCTCGAACTCAAGGAGAGCGGACCCTTGAAACTCGTTCGAGATAAGCCCGGCATTTCTTCACAGCCTTTCTCATCGTATTCCTCCTACGGATGGCGGGTGGCTTGATGCAAGAAGGCTTCGCTCAGCTTTTCCGGGAATGTCCTCCCACGAATACGGGATGGATTTCCTGGAAATCCATGCGTTCGGGTGACCATGGCATACAAGACTAGAGCAGTGAACCTCAGAGAGGAGCGTGCGACTCTCGAGGAAGGCATGGCCGTTTTCTGGCGGGGCTTGGAGCCGTCGGCGCGGATCACGCTGTCAAACTAGCTTTTTCGGGGCTTTGACAGCCTGCGAGGTTCAGAGGAATTCCGAATTCATGCTCTTGAGCTTGAGAAGCCAGAGTGATCTTACGAATTCCCTCTCACATTCCCCCCTACTGCAAACGGAGAGGGTAGCATCAACTCGCGGAACTTTCCATTAACGACGTCGAGGCGAAGACATCCAGCTTTGGAACATCGAGCAATCGGAAATCCCGCGGAAATTGGTAGGTATGGGACTCCCACCCTTCCTGAGCTGACCATCGAGCAGAGTCTCATTCCGGCTCTCCCACAACGCAACATTGCCGAATGCTGAGTTGACACCGAATGATCGCGCTTGAGTCTCGAGTCGGGAGCGGAATGACTGAAGAGCGGACCGAGCAGCGCCAGTTCCCGTGTTTTTGAACATTAGAGCGTTTCTCGCTTACCACCGCCGGAAATGGCGCCCTCGCCAAGGATTGTATTGCCGAATTTCAATCAACATTAATTTCATTGAACCCTTTTAACACTCGAAATTGTCATGTAAATCTCAATTTCGTCTCTGACTGTTGCTCCCGAAAATGGCGCCCCGCAAAGTTATCGAATAACAAGGCGTCGGAAGCGATCTGCGCCCGCGCCCCTGTTCCGCTGCGCCGCTGTGAACGAATGAGAACAATTTCGCATGATACTCTTGACACCCCCCGATTCCGTAAGCCCTGGTCTGTTGATGTCGAGCTCCCACTCGAGCAATCGCCGAAATTCGAGCTCACGCTTAGGAGTCGGTAAATGGTGCTCTGTGGGTACGCGAATCACAGCAACAAGCGCGACACGCGATGTATTCTTCATTGATGATGTGGGTCAGCAACGAAACTCACCACTTCGAGGAAACCCCCGCATCCAGCTCGGAGATATCCCAGCGATATCGGTTCGAGCAGCCCGAAACACAAAACCCTCCCGCGCCCTTTCCCGCCTCTCGATGGCTCATCCCCAGCCAGGTGCCCGAGACCGGCCATAAAATATGCCTTGTTGACTGATGTCGATTCCTTGTCGCGATAGCTTCCGACAGGCAGCGGTTCTTCCCTATGTAGAGGTCACTCGGAGGAGGCCGCTGAGCCAGGAAGGGGTCTCTGAGGCGAACTTGTCATCGAAACTGCTTCATGAATGGTGCTATCAGCGTTCCTAGCTGTCAGTCTCCCGACGCACAGAGCTTCCGGAATCGACTCAAGACGATTCTGACGATGAGCCGGCGGGACATCTACGGGCTTCAACATGGCATTCCGAGTTGAGGAAGCCGAAGTTATTGAAGCTGTTCTTCAGATTAGCGAGGTTTCACACCTCGGGGTGCTCAAACTTGAAAGAGTCGACAGTGAGCCTGAACTCTCTTCCCATACATTTGCGTTGTGCCCAGGTGTGAAACGGATTTTCGGGTGTCGGGCACTGAGTCAGACGTCGAGACCAAAATGTCACTTCTTTCCGGATATTCCCTTGGCATTGCGATTCCGGAAACCAGCACAGGTTGCTCCTCAGAGCTGATCATTCGAAGACGTCAGCTTCCCTGAATTATACGATAAATTGCCAAAGCTCTGCATGGCTGCAGGTAGAGGCATCACCGATCCGGTCAGGCATGCTCCAAAAGAGAGGTCGGAACCGGCGTCACGACCCCAAGCATCATAGCAATTACAAAGCGCGCGACTCCGAGGGTGGCGGGCATGAAATCACGCCGTGCGGCCAGTCCCAGACGAGGACAAGAATTCACACGCCTTCATGATGATCTCAATGCTCGAACCGAATCAGCGATCTTCGGAGTCCGTCGGGCCGTCGATTCCGCCGCGCAGGAGTGCGATGCCAGCTCTCCGCCTCATTCCCCCAATTGATTCGTCAGCACGCGGGAGACCAAGTGATCTCGCTTGAGTCCCCGGAGGCAGAACCAGTTTTTACGACGCAGATATGCTCGATAGGACGCGTATAGATGCTAATCTTGAGGAGCTATTCATTCTCTGTAGCAAACATCTCTCAGGTATTGGATAATCGTCGAGATGAACACGGAAAGAATAGGTTCGTGAATGATTGTGCGATTCGGACCAATCGAGAGGTCACACGGAAAATTTGAATATTCAAAAAACGAAGATATCGCACCGAAGAGAGTTATACAACTTCTGCCAGAAAGCGATCTGTCGTACTCACTGCGTAAGTTCGATCCAATTGGTCCATTCGAAGTCAAATATCGGTTTGACGTCTTCTTTGAATCGGAAATGAGACTCTTCGCTTCGATGCAGTGGAGGTTGAAGTAGGCTCATATCTGGAACAGAGACACGAATAAGCAAGACTCAAGCCTAGCCAATGCCCTAGTGCGATGACTCTATCGCACGAGCATTCCGGGAATGCGCGGCACCTTTTGACTCTGCCGTCCAGTCTCATTCACTTTCTTCGATGCTTTTCTCACAATGCTAGTCATCAAGATTTACGCCAGAATCCCTTGTATAGGTCATCGAGTTCCGAGGTGGAATCCATGGATGGTCTCATCGAGAAGAACGGGTCTAGATCTGTCGCGTCTATCGTTGACCAACATAAGAAGTCCAGATGTGCGATATCACGCGAAATTGCACGCACATTCCGTTTGAAACCCCAAGGAGACTGTAGGGAGCGATGAGTGGGATGCTCGTGACGGAGCGGCGCGGAATTTCCACTCAGAGGAGTGAGCCGCATGAGCTCTTCGCCATTCGGATCAAGACATGATGATGTAGATCCAGCTATAGATTTCGCAAATTGTCAGCTTACTTGATTCGCGTATCGGATCACCTGATCCTGTAGACCTATGTGAATCTTGGCGGGAATCTCCCCGCTTTCGTAACGGAGACGATGCGTTATCCGATTATGAGAGCACAATGCACTTGTGGGACAGAGTTCGATCGCGAGGCGGGAAACTGGCCCTTCCGAAATCAGGATTCCGTATGCAGAACTCTACGGAAGCCCAAACGGGGACCTTCAGGAAGACCCTTTCGTGCCGGGCGCGCGTTTCGAACTATCTTATCGAGAGATTCCGACAGGCCCTCTTTATCAGTGAACCTTCTCACCGCGCTGCGAGGGTTTCCCTTCGAAACGTCACGTTCCAAGAATCTATAGTACCGATCTCGATCATCACTTATCGACGCAAAACGTGCCTTTATCATAGAACGTCAAAGTCACAGACCAGTAGAACTCTCGAAAGGTCCATTACCAGACTGACTGAGTCGGCTAGACTGTCGAAAACACTCACGGAAGGACATTTCGAGAATAATCCGAATAGGCTACGCGAACACCTGTTGTTTCGGCGGAGAGGGAATGGATGCACTTCTGACAGATCAATCCGTGAAAGTTCCGATGATTTCAAAGTGCAGTACCTGGTTTTCAGAGATTCTCGATCTTTCCGGCCACAAGGAAATTCGGATTATTCCTGATCCGTGCTCTCTTTGAAATGATGATCCCCTCTGTCAGACTCGCCATTTTATAGGTCTGTTCTATAAATTTTATCGTCCGCGCATGATGCGCTGCGCTCACCACGCTCATCTTCCGTCACTTGGCTGCGGTACACAAATGTTCCGGAACTCTGCACAGAAACAGGATTCCCAGGTAGGTATTTATCGAATGAGTTTCCTCAAAAATGATGATTCTCTAGTTATTTATGGTAAAGATCTGGATGAAACTTTGAGCTTTTGACTACGTACTCTATCGGACCCTTGCGACCGTTCCGGCTCCGCTGACTGAGCCGAACCGGAACACGTCAGTTTCCGTTTATCAGCGATATCCCGACCAACCCGATCACTTTTTTCCACGCTTCGATTGCTTTTCGACACCTCCTGTATGACAACGTTACGAAACACTGTGATGCAAGCTCAAAACACGTTCAAGGCCGTCCTTCTCCGCGGTGAACAAACTCTGACGACCCATGTTTGGCCGAGAAGAGGACAACAAAAAGATGCTGGAATGGAGAATGAACTCGACTGGAAGGAAAACTATATTATGAAGTGTTCCGATCATGCGCCTCCTGCCTCTGCCACAAGAAGCGCTCCCGAATCAGAACTTGAGTTCTCGGATTTGGTGCAATCATTGATATTCTCCATGTGAAGCGCGAAGTCCGACGGTTTTCAAGCAAACGGAGTATCTCGGGAATGAACCGATGCTTCAACGGCTGGGACATTCTGTGATTGCTGTCAGCGGGTCAACACCATGAGCGATTACGACGACCAGAAGCCTCAAAGTTTCCGAATCGCAGCCACTGCGGAAAGAAATTTTTCAAGATATCGCCTTCGAACCCTTGTCGATGATGAGAGGGGGACATTATGCCGTCTCCGAGGCGTCACCTGTCACCCACCTGCGGCAAGATCAGTGGAGCCATGAGGAGAATCATAGGGAAAAACTCGCGACGCCTTCTCTTTCCCTTCATTTTTTGGAAGCCTGCTCAACGAATACGCAGCTCTCGACAGTTTTTCTAATCCGGAAAGAGATAACTCGTTTTAAAACAGGCAGACACCCATAGCATCGAGAATATTTGATAAACGCTTGACGACCGATCCCCAAGACAGGCATTGTCCCATGACTGTCTCACTGTCCCGGCGCGCCTCGAGCATGTGTCACGAAACAGAAACCGAAACCCCCCTCCTCGTGTGTGCGGTCACTTTCAGGCATGTGTTGGAAACCACACAACTGTTTCTCAATCAGGTTGTGAATCAAAGTATATCGGCGAGTACGAACGGTGACCGATCAGTTCGTCACGAGTCACGAATATCGAGCAGAAATAGGTCCAGACTATCGTGAGTCCCGTCGCTGTGAGACCATGCATGTCCAGAACACGCTTTTCGGCAGGTTTGCATACATGAATCAGTCGGTCGGGACTTTGCTTCCGTGATGAGTAGAGTTGCGATATGAGAGGACACGTCCTCTTTTGTCCGCTTTGACCGCTTTTTTGGGGTTTTCTCGGGAATGTCCGCTTTCCGAAATTTTCGAGGAAACACCGCTAGATTCGATGATAAAGATTGAATTTCTGCGCTTCTTTTTTCGTTGAGGGCACCGAGGTCTTGGCTGCACAAGCGTGAGCCAGAGGCGCCGGGGGCTGGGTCGGAAATTTTCTTCTCACTCAGCAAGTTGTCTCTGAGAGATCGTTAGGGCATCGAAGTTCAGTCGATTGTTGCTTATTAGGAAAATGGTTGGAGAGTCGGATAAATTCCATGGAAAGGGCAAAAAACATGGGATAGAGTGTCCGCTTTTGATGTCCGCTTTCCGTCCCGATGTCCGCGCGGACATCGTCCTTTTTTCGGGAAAGAAATGTCCTCTCATATCGCAACTCTAGTGATGAGTCTTGGACGAAGCTTGCGGGAAACGCCTTCGAGTCGGCAATGAGATGAACACCTGATCGCGGACATCTCCCTTCCATTGAGCGGATTTCCATGCTCGGAAACTCGTAGCGGTGACCCCGCAGGGGACCTCACCCTTGGTTCCGAACTGTAGCGGAAGTTCTGTTTACGGGTTCGGAGATATTTACATGCTGAAGAGTCGATGCTCGAGTCGATCCCTCAAAATGGAAACCCTCCTCGGAGTCGCAATCCCCTGATTCAGAGGCCTTCCACGTCGTCGGATATAAGTTCTGGGCACGATATGTTCGCGCGAAGCGCTCGACCTTTCTAACGCGACTGTCTGATATTCGAAAGCCTGCTCTCGAGCAGATTGACCGAACACCATCCGGAACCTCCCATACCAGACATCGAAGGGGAGCTTTCTCGTCCCCGAGCTCATGACAAAAGTCCTTGATTGAGCTTCGCTCCGATAAGTATGGAGCAGTTTGAGAGGAACGATCAGTCCGGCCTCGCGGGGAGACTCGAGCGTCGAAAAGAGGATCGGCCAAAGGATTGAATACCAAGAGCTTAATCGATTTCGCGAGAATTTCGCCACCTCTCGGATTGATCCACTCCTTCTCCGGAAAGCCGTCTTATGGACAAATACCCAGCCCGAGAATTGCGGAGAGCGCGGGATCTATCATCCAGATGCGGCAATATTTTGTTTCCGAATTACGGGCTATACAGTAAGATGATCCGTGTCCAAGTCGTGGTGAGATTTGCTAGTGATTTCCAAACTCTTCACAGTCTGACGACGAAGTTCCCTATCATGTCGCATCCCACTCGCCTCCTGGCCTGGAGATGAGACGCGGTACTCACTGCACGCCGATGCGACATGACAGATGAGCATGCGCTGCCGAGCTCCGCAAACGGGACCCCGGGTTCTTCGGCCAAGGGCGCGAGAAGCGACTCGAATGACTCGAACGACTCCTCGAATTTATGGTCTGAATTAGCTGATGAGACCCAGACTTCTGAGCTAGACGATCAAGATCCAGGGAGACGGTGCGGTTCCTGCCTCGAAAAGTGGGTTCCCCATTCTGCAGGAGCAGATTTTTATCCTGCCGCTCCACAGACTTTCGCTCGAGTACAGAACATCTCCGCAACGAGTTCGCCTGATGGATGGCATCGGATATCAAGCATTCCAACGGAGTTCTATCGCTTTCCAGATCTATCGCCCTGAACGTTTTATTGGCGCTATTGGGGATCGTCTCTATCCTGAACATGCCGGAAGAGAAAGAATATACGGGTCAAGTTCAAAACTGGTGTCCCAATCCGAGGGAAACGAAGGCAAGGATCGACGCTCAAGTTGGAGAAACTCTCACGATCAACACAAGTTTCTTAGACGCCTTGATGCACTACGAAAAATTCGCTGAGAAGAGATTTGGATTCCTTGAAGTGAGAGACTCTGAATGTTGGTACATATCTGTGCGATCGTGCCCTTGGCTCGGTCGTGCGCAGCTCATTGCATTCCTTACGCACGGCGTCGAGAGAATTACTGTCGATGATTTATATTCCAGTACCGCAGCTACATAACGCATAATCTGGACAAAAGAACTCACTACATTTTTGTAGTGGACAGCAGTCTCTTTTCGTATTTTTTCATGCTTTCTATCGCGAATAATACAAAGAATCCCACCCAAATACGCAAGTCGGTGAATAGGAGTCTGATCTTTGAGTAGGTTTTGTCTTTCCTGGTTCGCCGAACTTGGAAAACAGAAGCCCGGACTTCAATCTGAGGATCTGAAACGATTTTTCTTCTCCAGGCAGCCATTGGACGGGGTCAAGTATTTGCTCAACAGCGAAATCCTTCTCAAATTCCAAGCTGACCAATACCCTTCGGATGCGCAACACCTTCGTCCCTCCAACATCAGTTCGCGGGAGGTGTATGACTTCCGAGTGATCATCAGAGCTCACGCTCCGGCAGGGAAGGTCGAGTTGAAGCTATGCCAGGAAGCTCATTGTGGAATCGAGAACATCACGCTCGAGGTCGCAGAATTATCACGTCCACGAACGATAACCGAACTAATAGCCGAGACTAAGGCAAGAGATGACGCCGGATATTCTACTTTCAGTGTGAAGACGCGGGATTATTCGAGGGCGGAATACGGGTCACTGCGATGCGTTTCGATTACGATTTTCATTATCCCCTGGTTAGAGAGCCATATGACAAATCAGCGACATGCTTCGCCTACTCGGAGAAATTCCAGATTTGCCGCTTCAATGAGTCGAGTTCGTTCCCTGTGATGTGCTCAAGTGGTATTTTCCATGGAATCTCTTAATAAAGTTGCGTCGTAGCATGATATGAAAGATCCTGTTGCCCACAGCCATGTAGCGCAGAAGAAAAACTTCGTATGTTATCTTTGGCTGAATGGTTATGTTCTATATCCAAGTGATGATTTCGAGCTCGACGAAGTCAACCGTGAAGCGAGCCCGAGGCCCTCACTGATTATAAGTACTGACTGTTTGGCGATTGGAGACAACCGATGAGAGTCCTCTTTCCGTCCCCCTGCGCTCTCGGGCCTGGGGAATCTATCATTCGGGTGAAGCACGCTATAATTGAGCTTGTACTTGGGAATAACTAATTCCATCGAGCCTGATACCTACTTCGCGACAGGCCCTTCGTCTTTCTATCACTTTCCACATCCATCATCGGCCCGCCTGACGTGAAGGATACCTCAGGGCTGCTCTTCTCGCGAGCTGCTCCCAGGAAACAAATTTAAATCTTCACTCCGTCTGTCTCCCGACATCTCTCGTCCAACGGGAAACATTGGGTTCATCCCATGTAGTCGACATTCGACTCTCGCTTTGCGAGGGTATGAAAATTCTGATGAGAAAATGAAGCTCTGAAATATCACTAGGCTCGGGAATCGAGGAAGACGTTCGGATTCGATCGATATCTGTGGGACCACTCCATACGCCTGAGGCATCAATCGACGGCATTTTCGAAGCTCGGACGGGGCACGGAGGCTCTTCATCAGCTCCAGCGAAGAGCATCCGGATAGCCGAAGAGAAGACCACATTAGTTCGAGCGCTGTCAGATGTACAGGGCAAATGAGCATCAAACTCCGTATCTCTTCACAGACAATGATGACGATTCCCCCGAGGAGTGGAGCACCCGGAAGAAGAAGAAGAAAAGAAAAACCTCCAAAAGCAAGAGAGACGAGATCAGGAGCCTCAGTGGTTCTACAATCTCCGATCAACGCAGCCTCGACGAATGCGCGCCGGAGTCGGGGTTCGTGCGTTGCTATGAGAGTTCGACCGATACGAGTTTCGAAGGCCTGATGAGCAAACTAGGGTTAATCAAAATGTTCCTTGTTTCTTCTTCAGTCCGAGCGATCCCCAGTCGAGCAAATTCAGCAGGAAAGTGTTGGCAGTTTCCGCTCTCTCTCGGTTCGCCATCTGTTGAATGTCGCCATCACGCAACTCATCTAGCCCTCTACCCTTAGGCTGCTCGCTCTGTGTTTCCTTGTGATGACGATCGGGGCGATCTACTATTTTGTGAGAATTCGGAAAAAAGAGGCTGTCTTCGACGAATGGTGTCCGCGAGTCACCAAGGGACGAGTCACCCATTTGGTGAATAATACGGCGGATGGCCAGAGATATTTTGTACGTCCAATTCTCAACTTTCAAATACCTGATATCAATGATGGATCACCGATTTTGGATTCTTGCCAAATTATTGACGGGAATGCAACCCCAGATAGACACTGAGGGGTTTTCATCGGTCCTCAACGATGAAACGAGCACGCGTCGAACTGGAATCCTACAGGTCAGAATGATCCGAGAATTACCCCTCGATTTCGACCGACTGAATGATGAGCCACTAGACCCGATGCGCAGAAACAAAAAAGGAAATTCCGAAGGTGTTCATCCCTTGACCGCTTGTGCTTTACGTCGATCTCAGGTCACAAGACGTGATATCTACAAAACAAAGGACGGACGCACATACATTTTCGTCCTTTACCATGAACGGACGTTGTACGCGTTCATTTTCTCGATCAGGCTTGATGTACCAGTAGACATCAAGTCCACGAAGATGAAGGAGTTCCACAGAGCGGAAAATTTCAACGAGTAAGAGCTCAACATTTCCCCCATCGATTGGATTCGTCTCGACATTTGGAGATCTCTATTCGAATAAGCGGCGAGAGGGACTCGGGGAGTGTAGGCCGCATTCGGTAGAGCTGCTTGCCGGTTACTCATCGAATTTCAGCCGCCAGGAAGAGGAACTCTTCCGGAGATTACTGAGAGAGCCTCTATCGAAGGGCATCCTTGAGGCTGATAACGCGAGCTTGGATGTCGAAGCCGACTGGTATATTCACGTGACGGTTCATATCGAAGAGAGGACCTATGGGGATAAGACTGCATACGGAATGGTTGAAGCAAATATTTGTGCTGAGAATTCCGGTTGTCACTTGAAAAATTTCGCTTTCGGGGTGAGTCGAAATATCTTGACTCGATCGTGTGCACTGAGCGAATTCTGGGGTCAAGCGCATCCCTTCAGAAATACTTGAAGCGATCTCTTCCAAGCTCGAGGACGTATTCCGGACGCGAGCGGTCAACATCACCGAGATCGTGCTGCCAGAAAGAAAAGGCGACAGGGTTTTCGAGAGAGCGACCGTTTTCCTAAGCTGCAATCTTTACGATGGGAATAGGAAACTCTGCTCGCCTGATGCAAGCTTCAATTCCGTGGTCAAGTGCTGAGAACCATGAAGAGCAGGAAAGAGGACCCGCCTCACGTACCGCCTCATGCTTTCACGTACCGCCGGAATTCGATGAGAAGCATGCCTTTCCGGTGATTTGTGGAGAAAACTCTGATCCGAGAACAATGCGCTGTTCGGAGGAAGACGATAATTTTCAAATATAATTCCCGACTTGTATTCTACCTAGCATAAGTCCCATGTGAACATGAGCGCTGTGGAGAATCACTTGATGGGCTCCGAACTCGACAACTCAGAATAAATGAATTAACACGGTGTGAAGTGTCCCGGGTGCGTGAAAGTCATTTTCCACCATTCCGATGCACTGATTGACCAAGATGATGATCGGAAACTCTGGATGGATTGCTCCCTCTCAACTCGTTGAGGGCCTGAGAATCGACCGAGCTCGCCTGCCACGAAAAGGAACTTGAGACTTCCATGTAAGAGGGCATCACGGAGAAATCGAATCATGAGGAATTTCGTGGCTATCGTCTTAATCGACGACGAGTTCTCGAAGGAATGAGGAGCCTTTTGATCACGTCTCTCTCAATTGCGTCGGCTCGCGACTTAAGGCGCCGATCGCCATTTGATATTTTGTTTGATATCTTGTCAGATTGTCGTCAAGTGGTTCAGGACGGCTCTCCCTCTGCATGAGAGACTTGAATCGACAGAATCCTCTTCTCGGCCCTCCTGAAGCCGAAGCCGTCAGAGGGTCTATGTCTATAACCTGGGGTCTTGGACCTCTCTGAGCTCGAAGGGCTCGTCTGATTTTCGCGACTGTCGGGTTTCCATTCTCTCCGAAAACACACCTGTTCTCATTTACGTCAAAGTACGAAGTCAGCAGCACCCTTGCGTGATTTTCGTAGCGCTGTGCTCCTAGGAGACAGTCGCGCAGAAGCTCGACACAGTGACAGTGTAGCAGTCCCCGAATCCCGGACTGAATGCTATTCTTTAGCTCGAACGAGTTTAGTTTGATTGGACACAGATCGTGCTCCCGGCAGCAGGCGTCCGTGTGCCTTGCGCTGCCGAGGTACGAATAGTTCATCGCTACGTTGCCCGGTCCGCACCGGACCGTTCCTGTGAACGATAAGTTTGACACAGTTCAGAGACTGTTCAGAGACAATACGTCATACTCCGAACTTTCTGTAGTTCATGTTCGTGTCCTCGAGTGAGACGTCGATTGAGGTTTCGAATAGTCAAGAATGAGCGCGAGAGCGTCCTTGAAGAATTTTCGACATTCCTCCGCGTCGATCAGGCTTCCGGGGTAACTCAATCAAAACATCACGTCGAAGCTCACATTTTCCACGTTCGGCTAAGCTTGAGCAAGCCAATCTCTATCCGTGTCTCGGCTGAAAATGATAATGACGCACTTCTACATCCGTCTTTACTGTTCTGTTGTATGAGGGACGAGATGAAATCTTCAAATCACACACACTGCATTTCGGTGAGCCGACACCGGCTTGGACGACCCTCTTCGAATGCGATTTCAGCCAATGTCCCCTCTCCGAGGTATGAGACCGCGGTGCCGGGCGAGCGGGTGAATTCGTGGAAATTGGCACGACTCCCTGACTGCGGTGACTAGCCGCAATGAACGACGTTCGATAACCATAAGAGCCAAACGAGCTTCGATCTTCGCAGGGACCCTGTGAAACTGTTGTTCTCTGCAGATGCTCAGTATGAAGAGGCTTCATCGACAAGCTGCTCCCCGAGGAACTCATCGGAATAAGTAGGTTTCGGTCGCTCAGTTCGAATCTCATGAAACCGTGGGCGGGATGAAAATGATCGAGAGTCCTCCAAAAGCAGTCTTCCTTAAATTGCGCTCGGCAACGATTTCCTTTCGCTCATCGGAACTTCATCTCAAAGGACGAACATGTGTTCTTGCCCGGGAGAACACAGTCACTCGATTCAGAGGCGCAGTAAATCCCTTGATATTCCAGTAAGTCGGAGCGACCGTGGTCTCAGAATCGTAGACATTGGCGATGCCCTGATTGGATGTAGCAATAGCGGTTTATAAGTAGAATCGGGGATACGCATGCCGAATTGAGATGACGATAACCATTAGAACTCCTGGAGTGATGATCCAAGGATATAGCGATCGGATATAAGGGAGATCATCATCACCATCCTGGACTCGAATCGGAACTTTCTTCTTCGTCGAAATTTCCGGATAGTTGGACGAACGAGACAACGATTAATTACTCGCAAAGAATTCTGAAATTGCCGGGGAAAGGGACGACTGATCTTCACCTCGATCAAATGAGGTTCTATGGTCGGAATACGGAAAACACTTCTCTCACCGAACAAAGAGGCAGGAAGCTCCTCTTTGCGTCATGGTCACTGGAATGGTTCCATTTCGTTAGCTCGTTCATGACCTCCTTGGCGTTGTCGAGTAACCATGCGCTTCGGGCACTTAGATAGCTCCGCTCACCAGCCGTCTGTGCCTGCCAGCGCTCAATCCATTTGGCGCCCCCACCCGCTCTCCGAGTCTGGAATTGTTCAAGGGTCAGCTAATCGAGATCGCGTAGCGCTAAGAGTCAGTCCTAGGTCCTAGGTAGAAGGTCGGGATCCTCGAGCAAGCGACGGCCTACCTTTCCACATCCGTGTGCTTCTTGACCAATCATTGTGGTGGATTCGTCGCAGCATTTTTATTGGTTCTGTGAACAGCGAAGAAGAGCAGAACTAAGTTTCAGAAAAGCGGATTGAGACAGGTTTCCCTCCCCAATGAATGAAGATTGTTGAGAAGACCTTGAGGATGAGGCGTCGTCTCTCGTTACGAAAAAAAAGGGGCAGGCGGAGATCGTAGATGGTCTCTCCCGTTTTTTGTGCCTCATCGAGCTTTCTTCGTTCAGCATCATCCCGATCTGTGCGCTTGGGAGATCGGAGAACGTTTCCGGGACAACAGGAGCTACGAACGCCTCCGTTCGCTCGTCGTCAAGCGAATCTTGATGTGGGGTCTAATTCTGCGAAACTTGGGAGGTTGAATAATTGTAGAGTTGAAGAGCAGCAGGTGTTCCCAATAAGAAGGCTGTTCCGGGAGTTTAGTTCGGAGCAGAGCGCGTCCAATCTATAGGAGAGTGAACCGCCGTCTCCTCTCATTGTTGACTCCCACACAAGTTGAGATACAAAATTGGAAGATCCTGAGCATATTTTCCTCCGATGATATCTGGGAATTGAAAACGTCCTTTATCGCCGGAGTCATTCCGCCAGAAAATTTCATATTTATGTGGAGTTCGATTTCGACGGTCGGGAGGATCCCGAGTTTGAGGGGTCCGGAGTGACATGGGATTTGAACATTGAACGTCTCGAGTCACCCCGCCGAGCAGAGATCGAAGTCTCCTCACCTTAAAAACCGTTATAACGAACACAAAGACAGAATGTGGCTCGATCCGGTGGCAGAGGGGGCGGGGCGTGAGGGCGGCGTTTAGAGGCTACCGTCATAGGAAGAACGGATTGCACTGGTCCCGCGAGGACCGTTGCGACGAGATTCCACTGTATACATGATATTGTCGTATGTGTCAGTTGTTGGCGGGAGTTTTATTGGTCGGTTGTTCGCTCCACCAGTCTGCTCCGGTCAGGTAAACAAAATTCGAAAATATGTGCATTTGTTTATCCGGAAGTATACTCGGAACTTATAGCAGAGGAGGAGCACTGAGGTTCGGCACTGCGGCGCCCGAATCTTGATAGTGACGTCATCCACCGGGAACAATCCACGAGACTCGAGCCAATGAAAACGACGAGTTCGAAAGATCTCCGCTCCCTCTCATTCCTCCATGAGTACGGAAGCTCCTCGGGAACCAGGTCTTCAAGATGACGCACCCATCCGGCAAGCTGAAAAACTCGTCTCCCCTCCCGTGAAGTCCATCGAGCTCGATAGGAAACCTGCGAAAGGGACCGCCACTTCGACGAAATATTGCGGATGCCCTGCGAGTCAGTGAGTGGCTTCCCTGCCGAGCGACACCCTGCGAATGAATACCTACCTAAAAAAGCGATCTCGAACTTCAAGGTTTCTACGACTTGGTGTATTTCTGCTTCTACTGCTTGTAGCCGCGTACCTGTTGCTGGCTATAAGGCATCGCCGGAGCCTGAAGACGCTCAATTCAACCTGGTGCCAAGGTTCGACCGTTGAGACCGTGTCAACCGAAGCCGGTCTGGCCAAAGTTGTTCGCATCAATGCCTCGAAATTGAGAGAAATCCTGGACGACGATGATGAGTACGCTCCTTCCCGGAAGGGCATGATGCAGGTAATAGCGAGGGCCCACGAGACGTGGGGCTTGGAGGATCTCGAAGGGCGGCAGATCCTACCACAGCCCCCGTTGACGTTCTTCGCGCACAGCTCCGTGAAGCATTCTTCCCTTCTCAGGTGACGTTCTCGGACCTCGTGAGTACCGCGAACACCTCTCATTATTTGTACATGATTGATTACGATGGGGGAGCTCTGCTATTCTCGATAGAAGCAGTTTTCGGGCATGAGCGAGCGATACAGGTCGAATGTAGCTCTGCGGAGAGGAGTCAGGACATTCTGGACTCAAGGTACGTTGTCTGCATCCCCGAGGACGGCGGTGATTCATTCATAGCCTCTGAATCATGGGCGACTCCGAGCTTCAATGAGCAATCGGCATTCCCCGCAGCAAGATCAAGGAAGAGATTGACGGAAATTGGCGAATTTATCAGAGAGGCCCGAAGAAAAAATTCAAATGTTTGAATCCCAGTCCTGTGCCCCCTGAAGACCGAAATTGGCGCGCCACCATTGACATTGATCTACTGAGTGGATCTCTCGAGCTGAATCTGTGTACGAAGAGCGAGTGTGTCCTCCGGAATGTCGGCGTGCGGGTGAGGCGTCCATCGACGTAGTGAATACTCGCTACATTTATTCTCATTGTTTAGATCGTTGGCAAGGTCTCCGGGAGATCGAGATGAGATCAGGTCGGAATTAACCCTCCCCTGATTCCTCAGAAATTCAAGCTCGCGGACCCCGCCGGCTTGCGTGTCATTCAGCTGCTGCATGATGATGGCCGAAGCGACTTCGCTGCGGAAGAGAAGAAGAAGACTTCTCTAGAATGCGAGATTCTCGACCTCGCCAGACATGAGAGGCTGTGTCCTCCGGATAAAGAATCACCGGGAGACAAATTCTCATACTGTCCTTGAATAGTTTCTGGTGATCCAATCTTTCTCTGCTCGCATCGCTCTGGCGAGGATTTTATCCGGTCCCCGGAGCCCTATTTCAAACCTCTGGAGCTTCGACTGTCTCAGAGTCCGAGCCTGATTTTGATAATCATCAGAGGTCGTTAAGCCACATCTGATGTCTTTTTGTTAAGTTATCCTCGAGCAGCAGGAAGAACGCTCTGTCTTCTCAGGGGCCCCAGACCTTATCGACTACCTTATACAAGCAAGAGCGCCGCACAGTAATCTAACCAGCAACGTGAACATTTATTAAATGGTAATGATGGTAATGACGATAATCATAATGATGTTTGTGATGGTAGAGGGCACTCACTCGATCTATCGGTACGCTCTTCATTCACTCGTCGAGAGAGGTCTCCTATTCAGTATCAAATGAACTCTCGAGTCATTGGTTCACTGGACCGAAGTCAGATTTGTCAATCGAATCGGATTCCATTCTTGGGGAGATTCACTCTCTGTTCCACTCTTCGAGCGTAGACTCCGCTATCCGTGGGAATCCAGCGTCGTTATCCCGCGAGTTATCCTAAGTCGTCATCCTCGTATTGCTGCGGTACGGTATCACAAAATCACACTCCAAGTCTAAGCTCGATGATGATGATGATGATGATAATAATGAAAACCGATCTACATATCGGGCCACTAAGATTATTATCATGAATCTCATTTTTATATTAATATTCTTCTTGAGGTATTCTTTCCGGTCAACTACCGAGATAACTCTACAAATATTCTACGCGAGCCTTCGCGAGTCTCATGCGGGAGACATCAGGGAGATTACGATGATGGCATGTTTCGAATAGCGTCCCCCCATTCTCCGATTCTTAATGTTATCAAAAACTCCCCGTTGTTCGCTCTACTTGGTGACTATGTAGGAGAGCTCAATAATTCGATTTAGGACCCGACGACGTAATTTTGGTGTAGTGTACGCCCATACGGAGAGCCATTCTTCGTGTATCGCCAATTCCTTCAAGTCTCCCGCGCGGGAAGGCCCGTACGCCCTGATCATGGATCTCGCTAAACACAACGAAGATCTGAAAGGACAAGCAAGCCGTCGCTTGAGTCTCGGCCGCGCGGAGACCAACTCACTCAACGACTCCTCTTTCGTCAATGATTTAATGATGGATCCATCAATGTCAGCACCTTACCTGAACATGTCTATGGAAACATCGGTTGCGAAAGAAGCTGCGAAAAGCTCGCTCGGGTAACCGAGCAGTTGGGATGTATTGAAATCGGGTTCGGATTTGACCCGTTTGGTGCCGTTATGATTGATGAAATCTAGCAATGAATTCGGTGGGCTTTTGCTGACTACGAGGGGGATCGCATAGTCTTGGCTGGAGGTAGAGTCTGCGTTGTCTTTCCTTTATCACGGAAAGAAAGAAAAATTCAGTTGGTGAGTTTTGTGGATCAAAGAAAGCAGTAGTATGGGATTAGCTCGGAGCCGTATCGTCTGACATGGGAACATCTGCTAGCGTCGATATCGAGGTCGAAGAACAATTGTCATCCAACGGTAGTCATTGCGTTTACCTGGGAGAATCGTGACTAGAGGGAGCATCGCGGTTTTCGGTGAGTTTGAAACTCTCCGAGTCTTCATTTGGTGGTGAGCTCGAGTTCCTGTTGGCGCCTCGGAATTTCTTGTGAAGTTGAGACGAATCTTCTTCGTCGAGCTGTCGTTTGTCTCGAATCTCTTCGGGACTGCCCAGTGGACTTGGACTTTCATGGCGTCGGCCTGAAGCAGAGAGGTATCCCGATGAAGCCGCGGATTCCCAGGAGTCGACAGGATATCGCGCAGATGCTCCTCTCAGCTCCTTTCAGTGAAACGTCTTTCCGAGTGAGAGACGTTCCGAACCGCAATGTTTGTTCCATCGATACTCACATTGTGGGTCACTACGTTCCTCGGATGGATCGAGATCTTCATCGGCGTCAGGATCGCCTTCGCTCTCGCTCTTTTCGTCGTGATCGTCGTCGTCGTCGTTTTCCCGCTGCTTATCAACGTCCCCAACCCGTCCTACAGCTCCGCCGTTTCCTCCTCGTGAATCAATGACTATTGAAAGTGATTTTTCGATCATATTCTGAGTATCGTGGGTATTCGTGTCGGCATCCGACTGGGGGTTGGTCAGTTGGCCAATGCCCAACTGCGGAGGGAATTGGTGCTGCTGTAAAGCCGAGATCACCAAGCGTCGCTGAAGCTCTTCTGCGGGGTTCTGCGGCGGATGGGTCAACAGCTTCGTAACCTCCGTCACCACTGCGAAACACGCGAAAGGAGAAATCTTTGAGTTTCCCTCATGGGATCGACGACAGAGGAATGGGGTCGGAGGAGAGAAATGCCGATCATCTCGAACAGAAGTACTAACCCAGGGACCCTTGCTGCTTATGTTGGTGCTGCTGCTGAATTATTTGTTCGAGTTCGTTGTAGTGGTTCCTGAGATGTGACTTGAGGCTGCTGTGCTGCGAAAAACGTGCGGGGCAGTACTGGCACTCGTACGGCGTCTCTCCAGTGTGGCAGCGCATGTGTGCCTTCAGGTTTCCTTTCTGAGTGAAGGTACGACCACACTCCTCACACTTGAAGGGACGCTCTCCTGCGGAGATCGTCTACGTTAACTCGGACGTATTTAACGAAATCGCGGCCAGAACCACGGCCGTCCCACGCGACTCAACCCAGTTCAACTCGACTTTGCTCCTACCTGTATGGAGTCGCTTGTGCATGATTAGGTTGCCTCGTTGAGAGAAATCTTTGAGACATATGTCGCATGTGAAGGGCTTTTCACCGGTGTGGGTTCTTAGATGGGCCATGAGGTTGCTCGCGCCCATGATCTGTTTGAAACAGCGAGGACACTCGAGGACCTTGCGTTCAGGGGCCTGGTTCTGGGTCGTCATCGGGAGGGCTAACGGAGGCGATCGTCGCGGGAAAGCCGGTTGCCATGATAGATTCGAGGGCACATCCGCCATCGAGATCTGCGGGAGAGAAAACATCATTGTATTTTCGGAGCTCGAGGAAATGGCTCATCGTAATAACTTCTCGGTATTTTCCATTCGATCCCACAGCGAACGCGTTTTCAGCGTCACGCTCTTCGTCGAATCATCTCGGCGCGATATTCGACTATTCCATCGTTTCGTCGTACGCCAGAAACGAATACGAGAGAAATGGAAAATCCACCCCGGAATTGGTCCACGAAATCACGGAACCGAGTTCAGGAAGCACCCGATCGGACATATTCGGTTTCTATTCGTGGCCTGTCCCTTCGATACTTTTCGTCGCATCGGTAGCCAAGCTTACTAGATGTGTCGACCTCATGAACGAATAAGATGAAGGTTTAAGAGAAGCTGATCGCCTTATTTTTCATCTTCTCTTTTTGTTGATAACCCTCGGAAAGGTCCAACCCAACACCGGGTCACTGGGTTGCCGTTGTAGGATACCTCGCCTCCCTGTCGCCGTTGACGAAGATCCCTTATCTCCGTCGGTGGCGTAGAGGATCGATAGACGTATACGGAATGTGCCAAGAACCGCGTTCCGCACCTCCGCGCGAAATTTGATTATTTATTTCCATCCTTCCGCTTCCTCCTATCCCCCGCTCCCTTTCTCAGTCAAAAGTCAAAGTGTATCAAAACGATGAACGACTTTCGCGGCGGAAAGTGGAGCATCGAATCATGGATGTCGTCGATGCCAACGGCGACCTTTGCTTGTCTCCCTGCGAATGTCGCGCGGCCGTCCGCGCCTCCATCGATAGTCGGGCTGAGACTTATAATAGCACAATAAAATAGTTTTAGAAATAACCAGCAGAGCGGCGGGTAGTAGAAACAAGATAAGGCGGTGTCACGTACGACTTCCTACAATACGATCGGGATCTTCGTCACGAGGTCGAATTATTCGGCGTTCACCCGTTCGGCGTTGATTCTTTGATTTTTACTCGGTCTAGCGTCGAGCCTACTTTTCCCTCATGAGCCCTCGATACGACGTCGTACCAAAATGAACGAGAGTATCAGCCATCGATGAGAGTTCTCAGGGGGAACGCCTGGACTGACGTAAATCTCAGAGTCGATCCGCTGAGAACACGCCGACCCCACAAAACTCTTCGGCTCGCGCCAGATCCCTCTAAGGGAAGCCGTGAGAGAACCCATCCCCTTCCGGCTGGCTTTTGATTTAGCCATTGGGGTCTGGCTGAATTCGCGAGCGCGGATACATGTCAAAAGCTCAGAACATGGTGAGCGGGGGGCCGATCTTCGGGCGGGCAGCCAGGCGTTGCGACACGATCGACTCGCGAACAGTACTCCTTGTAAATTCGGCATCACGAATTAGTGCTCGTTGTTTCCAACTGGGCAAACAAATAGCCTTCTTTGTTCTTTGCGAAGAGTAACAACAAATGTCAAAAAGGTCGCTTTTTTCCCACTCACATCTGCCCATTCGGTCTTGCTGCGTTCGTCCTTATGATCGCTCCGCGGTCCGTACCAGCCTTCCCGGTCAAGTTTATTTATTACATGCCGAAACCGTTTGCCAGCTAGCCAGCCGTGCAAACTTGTGAGCGAACAAATGGAACCGGGATCCCAGTCGATCGCATGCGTTTTTTTTGTAGACAATCTAATTGAAATCGTGGAATGATCCCGACCACCCGTCGATCATTTTTCATTTGATGTGAATTGATGTGATACGCGGCTCTGGATTCCAAGGCTGTGATGATCTTGCCGGAGATGAATTCCGCCGTTTCAGAACGAGTCAGAGCATCACCAGATGTAAAGAATAGTTTGACACCGGATGCTTCGCAGCGCGTCGATGAGTTTGTATCGTCAACGACGATTTTATCTCCACGGAATCCGATTATATTTCCCGTAGAGATCGGATGCGTTCGAACACGAACAAGTTTCGGTAGGGACCCAAGGAGCCCATTCAAAGTATTTTATTTCCCCATCCAGAGCTGGGTGTCTCCACCGGAATTTCCGCGCTGCATCCATTTGCAGAGCCGCGGAGCCGATCGAGAAAAAGTAGATCCCGATAGCGACGGAGCTTACCGATTTCAGATCAACCGTAACAGATCCAGATTCGTGTAGCTGTGACAAAAACAGGGGTCAGCCGGGAGGTCGGCGAAAGTCTGCTCGCGCTATCCGCGGCTTCGACGGTATCAGTGTTGCCAATTGAAAACAGTCAAAATGCGGCGAAGTATTCCTTCTAATCATGGTTCTGCCCCAGATAAGACGGCGATGATCCGCAAGCATGATCGCCTCGATAAAAGGAATCCAGTGGAAGTTACAGTATTGTAGAAGCCGGCCGACCGCGATAGGAAATGGAAGACGAGTCGCACCAACACTCGATATACCGTAATCGAGATACAAGCTCGTTATCGCTGCGTGTGCTGCTTGCGATTTATAATGCACAAAATCAAAGTTGGACTCGGTCCGCTGGTGGGACTGGAAAACTCCACGAGCGGGAGAGCTATCGGCCGCAAACAAGTCTCCAGGTGTGGCCGGAGATTCCCTTGGAGTTCGTCTGCGGATGAAAAAAACGTGTGGAGTTTTTGGGTTGAGAGATCTCTCCCACCCTGCTCCCAGTAGATCCCCGGAGCCCTTGTTTTGTCCCCGGTATGTTCGTCTCAAACTTATAGTTAGGCTGGCACTATTCGTCAGATCCCAGCCCCGATCCCAGTCAGTCCCCCCGGCTGCCTCGAGAAGGACCGACCTGCAGGCTGGATGGTCTTCGCGGCGGCGGTGGGTCTCCAGGAGTTTTTCGCATAGAGAAGCTTGATATGCAAAAGTTCTCGTGCCTAAAACCGCCAGCGGTCGCAATAATTTTTAAATTTCAAATATCCATCCGACTACTCATATTTGATAAAAACTAGGAAAAATTCTTCATCGATGGACCTTCTCCTCGGCCAGCCAGCCAGCCCGCCCGCCTGCCTGCCCACCCGCTCGACTCGCGTCAGGAGATCAGGCGGCACGAGCGGGAGAATTTTAGAGAGAAATCGAGCAACGAGCCCGTCGCCGTGCTGTGCTCTGCCGTGCCGCGGTCCGAACACATACACACAAAAAGCAAGAGAAGCAAGGTTTTTAGTTGAAGTTTTTTCCTCAGCGTTTTTCACTCTTCGTTTTTACCAACATCTCTCGCCCGCCGGCCGGTCGGTCGGTCGAGCTCGCTTGGATGTTCGCCCTCCTCTGCGCTCTTTCCCATTCCCTGCTAGGCAGTTCGTCTGTCCGTCGATCCGACGCTTCCTCCGCGAGTTCGTCGCGCCCCGCAGCGCCCCCGCCGTGTCCCGTCGTCGTGCCCCTCAGTTTGGATTCTTCAACTTCTCGAGCCGAATTTCCTCCTCAGAACCCGACCGTCTCTTCCCTCCGTTTCGTTTGGCAATGATATTCGCGATATCTTCTCAGCAACCAGATCGCCCCTCGTGAATTTTCTTGTAATGGGAGTTCGTGGGAAGAGGGGAGATGGGCTCGCGCAATCGACTCCCCCCGAGATTGTTACTCGTTACTCCTACAAACTCCTCGAGCAGCAACCGTGAACATATTAGACGGAACGGTTCCCTCCTCTCATACGATCCCTCCACCTATTGTCACGACGCTATGAAGGACCTCGATTACGGGCGCACTCGGTAGCCGTTCAGCTTCCAATGTCGCCGTCTCGACTTTTGGAGGAGCCTGAGAGGCCTGCTGCAGATGTCACCGTTGGAGCTTGTTCCAGTGGTGGTGGACGGCAGAACGCAAAAATGTTGGAAAAAAAATCTTGGAAAATCAGGAAGACTCTCCTTTAGCACGAAAAGAGAGCCAGCCATCCAGTCAACGACCGAGCGACCATGCCGGCCGAACGTGTGCGCTGGAGGCTCTTCCGCTTCTTGTCGTCCTGTCTGAACGGCAAAAAACTAAAAGTTGAAAAAACTCCACGCTGAAAAAAAAGTTTTTTTTTCTCCGCCAGCGCCACTAGCGGCAACGATGGTAGTGGTGAAGGTTTTTTCCAAAGCGTTTTCAGGACTGAACCGAGAGCCAACCATCCATCCAGCCAGCGCGGCGGTTGGTTCGATTTTTTGGTAGTTCCCCCCTTTGATTCCCTTCCTTTCCATCCCTGCGCCCGGTCCCCTCAGAGTAAGAACTCGAGGGGGGAGGCGCAGCTCAAAGCGGAGTTTTTAAGTGAAGCGAATTTTTGTAGTTTTTGATAGCCTCCATCGCTCCCGATCCTCTTTTTCTTTCGGCCAGGGTTTTGTGAACGGAGAGAATCGAGGGGAGCTTCGGGGGAGATCGGGGCGATCGAGGGACGATTCGAGGGGACAGGGGGAAGGGCCGGGCTTGGAGGAGCTGTAGAAGGACGGGAAGGGGCGATGCGCTGGGTATAGGAATGGCAGCACACAGCAGAAAGAGTATTTTTATGGAAAACTAAAAACCGCCAAAAGAGGAAGACGACGGGGGCATCGGGAGCGAGGGGGACGGGCGCTCCGCGTCGTCGTCCTCGAATAAGGTGGATTTTTGTAAAATTCAGTTTTGCGTTTATGGCTCTCCGCTCTCCTCCGGCGTTTTTCGTTCGTCCCTCCCGCTTGGAGCTCTCCCCATCCCCCACCGTCTCTTACCCCGCCCCCGACGTTCAAACGCTTCCTCGTTCTATTCCCTTCTGTCCTGCCGATTCTTCTGTTGGTACGGTTTTTGCGTCAGACGAATAGGAAATATTCAATATTTCTCCCTTGGCGTAGCTCGAAACCACCGGTCGAAACCATGACGACACCTCATACCGCGTCGGTTGAGACCTCCCGCTCTCCGGACGCCTCGCTGCGACGTTCCCGTTGTTTTATTTCCGGAATTCAGCGCGAATCCTGACAGAAAGCGGGAATGTCCATTTGCCTCCAGGATTTGTCTGACGAGAACCCTGTTGTCTCGAAGTCTCCCGCGAGCCGCTTCTCCCTCTC